GCCAAGTGGGTAGAGATTGTGCATTTTCTCGATACTGTAGACCTTCCGTTGTGGATATTTTTCACTTGTATTCACTATATTAAATAATAGATCCTGGAACACCCAAAATCCTAGAAATTCATTGAATGTTGTGAGCTTCGCAATTTTTAGGTGATCAACATTTGTAACAGGCTGTGTAAAATATGTTCGCTTGATAGTTTTAATCACATTGGTATCCTTGTTCGATGCATTGCTCGTAATATTTATCCATGCATCCACTTCCCAAAAATATTTGTTCAAATGCGAAATACTTTCAATAAATTTTGATAAGTCTTCGAAGAAACTAAATTGCTTAGCATGACTGCAGTTAATGCGCAGCCATGGTAGTGAAATATTCTTGACGGAGTTGGAGTAATATCGGTTGTAGCAGTACAGACAGGGGAGATCTTCACCTGATTCCGCTACTAACCCCAGCTCGCCATAAAGATCAACTCTCACACTCACTAAAACGAAATTATATGATCCGAATAATGAAATCATATCCACCGATGTAGCTTGAAGTAAATACTGAAAATGTGGAGCCAGTTTGGTCAGCCAAACTATATACTGAGGGAGGCGAATTGTCTCAACATAGTAAGGTTTTTTAATGAAATGAAGAATCAAGTCGGTTACAAAGTGAGTGCGTGATTTTCCCGATAAGCTTCTCGTCAAGTCGTTTTCAGGAAACAGGATTATGAACGACCAACAATGGCCGATAATGTTTTTACGCCTGGCTATTCCCGCTCTATCGGTACCAGTGTAGTTGAATTGTTTGACGCTGCTACTGACGAGAATTGAAGGATTAATTTGTAATGCAAAGTTTGTCTGGTCATCCCCGATATCTATTAAAGTTGTGCAATTCGAAAATATTTCAAATACTAGTTCCAGTCCAGGGCTTTGGCCGAGAGGAACAGTACTTTCATTAATTTGAGGTAACGAACGCTTGCCGGTAATATATAGAAATAAAGAAGTGGTAATGTAGAAAATTATTGCAAACAGTCTTTGAATTTGCATTTTGATTGATATTGTTTTTAATGAGCTGTAGGAACATTCCAACAGGAGTAAGGATAAGGACTGACAAGTAGTTTGGCGGGTCGATTTATTAAAATGGATATTTACAATAGATAATGATCAACTCCTGAACGGGCGTTTACCTTGTCACAATATACTTACCTAGATGTAGATACATACATCGATATATTTTTTACAAGTGCCATTAGCGAAGTTAAGACAAGGTGGGGATACATATTCTAGAATGTAGAATACTTGAAACACTTGCCATGAGATGATCGGCATGTGTGAATCTACTGAAGCTATTAGTTTGTTTAATAATTTGCCTGTCCTATTTGTTGGATTCGAGAACTAGAAAGTTTATAACCGTAATATTAAATAACGGAAAAACTGTAATGTGATTGTGTCCTTAGGAATTGATTCATATGAGATTATGATCCGCGAACCAGACGACATATACATCCGCCCTCGTTTCACTTATCAAAAATTTGTCGGCTGTAATATAAGACGTGGCCTTCATAACTATCCCCTTCGTACACACTATACTGCTTACACATAGGTTCTTAAAAGTATGCTTTGAAAAACCTGCCCGATCTAGTCTACAATTTAACAATTATTTAATTTAACAAAATTCAAGTTCTTTCTCGGTCATGCCCTAACATCGAATGTTACCATCTCCTATCACAGCTTTCTTAACTCTTAGCCCTTCAGTGTACGACCTCCATAGACGGAAATAGTAAATTAAGTACCAATCAAAGCAACAAAATCGTCACCGTCTGATCAACCCAGACTTGAAGCAACTCTAAACCCGAGTTTTTCGACAAATATCCGAAATTCCCCACTTCAATACTCATAACTTGTACGGCCCTCCAAACTTTCTCGTAGTATCGCCTACTCCGATTTCCCCCCATTATTCTCGCATTTTCCCGCATTTGCTTCACATATTGGTTTGACAGTGTGAGAACCTTGTCCCCATAATGCCCCACGACCAACGCCAACGCAATGATGGTCGCCATAGTTACGGGGCCCATGGCATACACAACGACGGGTAGTTTCCCCCGATATTTAACACTGGCATTGAAACTGTAGACAAATAAGGCTGACATGCACGTAATTCCGGTCGCGAAACTCCACTTGAGCAAATTATTAGCGCGAAATAACGTAATTCGCAGGCGTCCATATGCCCCAACTTTATTCGTTTGTATTAACGCCTTCAGAATTTCCGTAGATCCACGAAGGACGCCCAGGTAGAAGAGGCCAACGTTTGTGGGCGGCATAAGCCAGTGATAGCAGATAGGGAACAGCAACATGGAGCGTAGGATTTTTCCAGATGGGTCATTTATCCAGGGAGAAGTGGGAAATATGGCGGCAAGCACGTGGTAGCCAAGATCAAAGGATGACGATAGAGGCATCAAGAAGACGCCCAACATGCCTCCTGCCGTACCAAGGAAGAGTTGGATTGCGATGAAACTTTGAATCTTCACTAGAAGTGGGGAATAAATCGTAAATTTAGGAAGCGTCCGGTCTGTAAGTGATAATTCGGTGTAAAAAATAAAGAGCGAAATACATCTACATTTGTTAACTGAAGGATTTATGGTGAGGATTGTTGACGTGATTAAGTTTTAGGCAGTTCGCCGATCCATTGATAACTTGACAAACGAAGTTTTGTAAAATAATTTTACAAACTTTTACAAAATATAAAGACGCCTTTCTTGTTCTTCGCAAGTTTAAAAAATAATAAGCTACTTTTCCTAAGAAATATTTGAAAAATTTTGTAAAAGGAAAGTTTCGAAGTTTATAAAACATACGGAATTTATAATGTTACCATTAAGGTAAATTTGTTCACATGACTTACACATTGTCAGTAAATCGGTCAAAACTACGGCCATGTCTTCGTGATGCAAGTAAAGCATGATGTGCTGACTGATATCCATAGTTGCTTTCATGCCCAATCCGACTAAGTAGAGGATCACATCCATTCGTGGAGAAGTTGTATGGTTTACCAATAAGTATAAAATTATTGCTGTCAACACGACATAAAAGACGTTGACGATAGAGAGAAGAACAAATACTGGATACTTGGATGATGAATTCGCATAAATTGGTTTAGTTTGAGATGGGTTTATTAAGATATCTTGCTCGGTGATTACTTCCGGAATTCGGTATAATTTTGGGACCTTGTTTTTTACTCTTATCACGTTTAAACCAATTATTTCCATGTTTAAATTAAGATAAATTGTGTTAAATACAGAACATCGATTCGTTCATACACTTAAGGAAAGTGTTTTTTAAATGTTCGACCTTCGTAAAGGTATATAGTCTCTGAATCTTTCGACATCTTCTCAGAAATGTATGTAATTGTCAAATTGTATTACACGTTACAAATATCTATGGTTTGACCTCTCCAAAAAATATTTACTTCCGCTTGTTTTTTTTTGCCTACACAAACTTTCCCTCGTATTTACAATGCCAAATATTCCGTAACAACATAACAGCCAATAATCCACATAATCCACGCAAAATGCTGCACGTCGTCAATTAATTTTATTGGTGGAAAAGGGTTGATGTTAATGAATTAGTTGCAAAAATTGAATTCGGTGGGTGACTATGTTCAAATATCGTCTAAATTGAAATTAGTTTGCTCAACTTTTCATTGGAATGGTTTGATTACGTTTCCAAGGAGGTAAGTTAAGTTGCGCTACCTCTGAATTTGATCGATTTGTGTTTTCCATCAAACTTTGCCAAAGAAATATTTTTCAATAATACTTTTCGTAATAAATTTTTGTCAAACGAATTTAATCAAAAGTTTAAATCCAGAAATTGTTATTCTATAATACATGATAAAATTGGAATTATGATAGAATTTGGAAAACCGTTGTTTGTTTGATTAGTTTTCGATTAAATAAATATTATTTACAAGAGAAAATCCTACGTTATTATTACCGTTATTCGTAACTAATTTCCTCGTGTATTTATTGGTCGACTCATTAATTCCACTTCTTTTTAAGCCCCATTTCACCGCCGATTTGACTACCTTTAAATTGAAATTTAATGTTATGCCCTGATTGGAACGTGATTTAGGGGAATTCTTTTTACCCGTTAATTATGAAGCGCGCTTTAGTTTTCATGATGATGTAAACCAATTAACAGTTTAGCCATCGATGTTACTTGGTTTGCATCAATATTCGTCGGTACGAAATTTACCACTAACTCGTGACAAATGGTAGTGACATCTACTCGTCCGACGTCCTACGCGTCTTGACATAAAATTAAGCATACTTAAATTTTGGTTAATTTGAAATATCTGTAGTCATAAAGCCCTTGTTATTAATATTTAAATATCTGCTTCTGCCGGGTATCAGGGTACCCGAATATTACGGACATATTTATGGTATCAGGATGACGCGTCTCTCAATGCGTCAATCTCACTATACCCCAATTAAACACATTTATGTAAATGCGACTGTCTAAAATATTGTGTACTTGACTTGAAGTGCCAGATTTATCTCCCACGGTCTCAGTCTGCCTCCATTGTTAATTAAGTGGGCACTGATTGGCGCGAGCCAAAAAATCGGGTCTTTAAAAAAAATGCAAAATAACATAAATTTCATGAGTTTCAGGATCAGCGAAACTTTTGGTAGTTAAATATTAATTTTGGTGCTGAATATTTACAAAATAGTCGATTTGAAGAAAATATAGCGATTTCATTTGCCATTGTTTCACAATAAATTGGCTTCAAAATTGCTAACCTTTTTTCAAATCGACTGCTTTGTAGTACCGAAAATGAGCTTTACATTACAGTATCCAAAAAGTTGTATTTATCTTAAAAGTTAACAAATTGATACCGTTTTGGACGGTTAAATTTATGTTAAGACATCGACTTCGATAAAAAAAAGTTATGCATCCTTAAAATGGGAAAATAGAGTCTCACGGTTAACTGTATGGGCCAAACAACTGGCACGAACCCCCACCACCTGGATTGCATTACACGACAAAAACACAAAAAGTGCAAAAGACGAAGAATTATCAACTACAATTATTTACAAAAATTCCAATTGACCTTTGTTGAACGGTTTGTCACGAAATTTTACAGTCTTTAATTCTTTTAAGTTGTAAGTATGTATAAAATAACGATTACTAATTATTTAAAATTGAACTTCATAAATTGATGATTTTATGTTTAGAAATTAATGTTTACTCTAATTTAAAAATTAATAAATACATTCCTCATCTAACAGATAAGGACAATACAAATCAGCCATATAAATTTAAAATTTGTCATTTCGAATAAGAAAATTAGTCACGAATTAATCTGGTATGACTACATGTGAATTTATTACAATAAATATTTAAATATTTATTTCTTCTCACTTATGAATATTAATAGCTGACAATTTACAAGATAAATTTCCACTATGTAGAATCACGATGCAGGCCGGGAACGACCAAACTGCCACACAATTGAATAATCTTGACCTTACCAACATGGAATATTTGGCGATGAAGACCTTGACGAATCCGCTAGGAAGTAACTTACTTACTGTCTTACAAAGTACCAATTCATGAACATATTTACTATATTTCTATTACATATGGGTTTTAATAAATATTTACATTACGACATGTCAAAATAAAATTGTATTTCAGATTCTGACCAAAGTTTTCTGCTCCTTGGACGTCAAAACGCTAAAGTCCGCCCGATTCGTGTGCACCGTTTGGGACCACGTGGGCGCCAAGTTTCTCGGACAGAAGGCCCGCCTAACTTTCTCATCATCGCCAAAGTACCGGCTTAATTACTGCAAATTTACCAATCTGAAAGAGTTGACCTCATTCAATCACAAATTGTCGAGAAATGTGACCTTGGTGATGATCTGTGACTGCAGTCTTACCTGTCAATGCCCCCCTAATCAAGTCGAAGCTTGTCGCAATCTGCCTCCCAACTTTGCCATTTGCTTCTCAGAATTTTTTGACGAGCTGGACACGCTTAAATTCTTTGTGGGAAGGACGCTCCAACCACGCTGGCATGAAATGTGGGGTACTCATCAGTTCCAAAACCTTACCCAGATTTGCAACATCGTAGAGAAAGTCTGTCACGATGATAGCTGGTGGGGTGACGAGGACGAAGTGAAGACGCGATTGGAGGTGCCGCAGTTTAGACCCCTGCGGAATCTTAAGGTCAGTCATAGATTAGTCATTAATTGCCAATTTGATGAGTTTTGAGATAAATTCAACTTGCGTATGTATGTGTCATGGATTCTTTAAAGTTAACTTTGGTACTAGAAGTCTATCGATTACAAAAAATTGCGAATTCATTTTTTAGGAAATTTATTGTTCACAAAGTGGCAAATGAGTTAGCATTTTTTTCAAGGAAAATTTTGTAGGGTCACAAATTAATTTAAATTACATAGGTTAAAAATTAACTTTACTTTGAGATATTAAAAGTTGCTTTAAAATCCATGAAATTGATGCCATTTTACAAGTGTGCATTTATATGAAAACATTCCACTTGAGTCAGGCTGGAAATGCATGCCACCACAAATCATCTTCCTAAACACCTATGTATGTCATCCTAAGGTTCTCTCTGTGATGATGTCAGCCGGCCAGCAAAACCATTTTGCAAGCGACTTCTTATCCCCTATTTCTCAAGGGTTGCTCAACTATGCCCCCAACCTGGAGAAATTTGAGTTAGAGGCTAATTTTTACCCGGATTTGACACCCTGCCGAAAGCTGGACGAGATTAAATTCACTAATCAAGATGCGAGATGTGATGAATATTCCCGTAAATTAGATGTTCCCGAGATGACCAGGATGTTAGAAGCAGAGCTGGGAAAATCTAGATTAAAATAATCAAGATTAAGATTAAGATTAAGAATAATTAATCTTAATCCATAATTTTAATCAAGAAATTTGATCGTATTAATCAATAATTTTAATCTTAATCTCACAAGTCAATTTAATTAATTTAATTTTTAATCTTTAATCTTTGAATCTTCGACTTTAATTTTAATCACGATTAATATTATGATTACCATCACGCTATCTGTTACTCGGCTGTCGACTCCTTGTAAATCTCTAAATTTCAACGCACGATCGTCTTTCAACACTGGAACCATTTTTAAAAATCAAAACAATTCTAAATTTCTGACAGGTTCCCTTCTTTGAAAGGAACGTTATTTAAAACTGTATTCTTTAAAAAGATTAAGAAATTTGCTGTCATTAAAAAAATTAATTTAATTTAAAAAATTAAGAGTTATTATTTTTTGAAATTTAAAAACGCGTTGCATTTGAGGTGAGACTAATTTTTACTCGTATTACAAGTTATTGTATTCGCCTTAAATTTAGCTGATAAAAGTTTAATAATTTTGAATAACAATTTTGAAGCACCGATGCTTCATACTTTTCTCAAATTTTAGAATTTATGATATAATATCGATGTAAACTATAAAAAACGGCGATAAAATAAAATAATTCTTAATTATTATTATTAATCTAGATTAATTAATCTTTAATCTGTGTCATAAAAGTAGATTAATTTAATCTTAATAATTTAATTTAGTAGCGGAAGAATAATTTTACATAGTGGGGTCATAAGTTCTCGTGAATGCATTTCTGGTAATAAATCCCAAAGTATTAGAGCTATCTGTTCGAAATTTTTATGGATTAAGAAGCTATTAATATTGTTTAGAAATCATAACTTCTTTGTCAAGATTTCGTCCACGGGCAATTAGACAAGACATAACTCGTGACGGCCACAGGTTGATCGTGGTACGCGCCAATTTTCGTGCCAAAAGTATTTCAGACTTTTCACCGTTGGCAAAAAATTTAATAGAAAAAAAGGCCAGATATTTGTTGTACAGAAGTCTGACATCCGTTTAAGTATGCGGAAGTCAATACGAAGTCATCACCGTGGTGTGCATGGGAGCAAGTTGGCTGGAGAAATGAAATCTCTGTTTTTTATCGCAAAGGGTACAAGTTGAAGCCAAGAATTATTTTCAGAGTGTCCTAGAGACAAACGTTAATAACCTGAACCCTGGACCCTCCGAAAATCGCCATTGGACCTTTCAACAAGACTCTGCTCATGCGCAAGGTGCAAAATTGTCCAAAACTGGCTTCAGACGAATTTTCATGACTTTTTTTCATCCGTAGAACGGTGCTCTGTATCTGCAGACCTTAATCCCCTAAATTATGACTGGTGGTGAAAATTATAGGTACAAGTATGCTCTAAATTTCACCCAAGTGTGGAAGGGCTGAGGTCGCACTTACTGAAGATCTGGCGCTTTTCCCTGGAAATCCGTGCGTGCCGCGATCGAGCAGTTTTCGCCACGACTTATGTCTTGTGTACAAGCCCGTGGAGGAAATTGTGAAAACGAAGTTATGATTTCTAAACAAGATTAATACCTTGTTCATCCACAAAAATTTCTATCAGATAGCTCTAATACTTTGGGCTTTATCACCGGAAATGCATTCACGGGAACTTATGGTCGGACTATGTAATCTTAATCTTAATCTCTGATTCGGGGATTTTTAATCTTGAAACTCATTAATTTCCCAGCTCTGGTTAGAAGGTTGTCGTGATTCCTTAAAAAAGTTCACCTTAGGTTTTCATGGGCGTCTTTGGAGTGATCCAATGAAGGTAAAGTTGCAAACCTGCTTTTTATATGTGTCGTTTTGCTCCAATTCGTTTCGCTCGTTTCCAATTCGTTTTTCTCCAATCAATTGGAGAAATTACGTATGTAAATTGTGGCCCATTTAGGCGAGCACCCCTGTGGCTTCCGTCATTCTCTCCTCTCCTCCAGTCTCACTTTTTTAAAGCAAGATCTCATTGTCTCCAAAGTGAGAATGAGAGGTGTAAAAAAAATTAGGACGGAAGAAGAGATTCGAGAGATTGGCGGGTGACTATAGCAGGAGACCTTTATTTTTAACCATTTTACTTACGTACTTGACTTATAATTTATAATTTAATCTACTTATAATTCCTGGCAGTAGTATAATCAAATTGCAGTAGTAGAATTTAGATATAATGCAATAAATAAGCCATGGAGCGGATAACGCCGGGTTTAGACTTCACGTTATCATTACGTTCTCCTCCCAATCCGATTTTTTGATTGGCTAATCAAAAATATCACTAAGACAATTAAAAATTTCCACCAATCAAAAAATCGGATTGGGAGGAGAACGTAATGATAACGTGAAGTCTAAACCCGGGGTAATGGCTAAAATTATGGGTGGCTTAGAGGGTGAACCTCTCGATGTATGTATATGTATTTCTTGCACCTTCTTTGCAACGAATGTATAACATCAAGTGAAATGTGCACAAATCGAACACTATTTTCATTTTTTAATCCGTGTTTTTTTTTATTTATTTTTAGCTTGATTTTCACTTCCCGAATCTCACCCACTTGAAAATGGATGCTTCCACGGCGTATCAAATTGAAGACTCGCTGAGCATGACCAACCTTCCAAAACTGACCCATCTCTCGATCTCTTCTTCCACCAACATATCCGAAATGATTGAAAATTATCATACGCCCCACGCCGGGATTACATCGCTCCACGTGGCAGGCACGTTTAATCCTGAAGATGGCAACTACGCTGTCGTCAAACTGGTTAACCTTTTCCCAGCCGTGACCGAATTCAAGTTGAACGTGGCGATTGAATTTATAGAGTATGCATATTCTGGCGAATACATCGGCAGGAAGGACGTCCAGACCCAAAACATTTTGCCTTTGAAGGAAACCTTGCAATCCTTGGGTGGCTGGGAGTTGACATGCGGAGGAGACGTGGAGGTCAAGTTTGAATATGTTGTGAGGGGTTATTCATTTGAAGAGCTGGATGCCGTCGGGACTGCTGTGTTACAAGGAGCCGCAGAATGGAAAGGTTTGCAGTACAATTTTAACCCGATTTTGTTAAAAATCTGGTATAGGGGGCCGTCCATAAATTACGTAATGCAAGAATCGCAATTTTCTATGCCCCACTCGCCCCCTTGAGCATACCCATGATATCATTGGAGCCTTAAACCCCCCCTCTTGCGTTACGTAATTTATGGACGGTCCCGTCAAGGGGGAATTGATTTCTCGGTATTAAAGTTGCTACCGCTTTGGTAAATATTAAAATTATTTACCGAGGTCATTAAAAATTTCCTACAGATATGGTAAAACTTTAATTCCGAGCTAACTCACGGTATTACTTATCGGTACCAACTTAGATATATATTTATTTGAATCCCGGAGGGTATTAATTTAATACATACTGGATTTTTAAGAATGTATATACCTATGTATGTATTTGAACAGTAGTACTAATTTGTGTACAATTTAGGCCTGGGGAACACATGTCTCAAATTTGTCGTTACTTGGGTGGGCGAAACGTACAAACTGTTGGATGGGATGCGTGATGCTCTTCTGTCTTGTGGATCCATTCGTCGAGTGACTTGGGAGGGATTTGAGGTAAATTTTTGGCCGATAATTTATAAATATGCTATTTTTATTGGGGGTATTCATGACTCCTTCGTATCGTTGGTATCGTAAAACAAGTTACGACGGTTATGAGATTTTGTTAGCGGAGTAAGATTTTCCCATTAAAAATCGCACTACTGACTAATCGTAATTACGATTTTTAAGAAGCTTGACCCCTTGTTTTTTTCACAAACTACTTCACGATGATACTATTGCGGTGCATCGAAGTCAACCGGATGGATTTGATTTGAATTTTGGCCCGCCTCCAATGTTAATCAAATGGGTACGTGATTTTGGCGCGTAGAAATTCTGTCCGGTTGACTTCGATCCACCGCAATAAGAACGATACTAACAATGCACATGTCTGACATGTTTCTCACAGATCTTCTTCAAACCAGCGCTAAAATATCAAGGCACTAAACACAAACAACATTTGGTGTGACACTTGAGCACTTCTGCAGAATTCGCGAAATGGCGAAGGTTTTAACTTCGCAAAAATGCGTATTTTCACCATGCGAAACTATATGGAGTTCACCTCTCCGCTTTCCGATTTTCTCCTGCGCTTCTCTTACCCAGGGCATCCGTTTTCACATTTAGTCCAAAATTGAGTTTATTAATTTCCCAACCAAGTCCAAGTTTTCATCTGTGATTCTTACATAATTTTTTTTAGCAATTTTTAATATTTTAAATGAATTTTTATCAGTGGGAATTTAAGAAAAATTGGTCAAGAATAGTGGATTCGATTTTTTTTAATTTCTTTCGCGTTTTGATACAAAGATTTTGATGACAAAAATCTTATAAGTTTAAAACATTAAAAAATGTTAAAAAACTATGTAAGAAACACAGATGAAAACTCGGATGGGAAATTAATAAACTCAATTTTGGACTAAATGTGAAAACGGATGACCTGGGGAAGAGAAGCGCAGGAGAAAAAAGGAAAGCGGAGAGGTGAACTCCATATAGTTTCGCATGGTGAAAATACGCATTTTTGCGAAGTTAAAACCTTCGCCATTTCGCGAATTCTGCAGAAGTGCTCAAGTGTCACACCAAATGTTGTTTGGGTTTAGTGCCTTGATATTTTAGTGCTGGTTTGAAGAAGATCTGTGAGAAACATGTCTGACATGTGCATTGTAAGAAATAATGAACACCCTCCATAAATTTATTTGTATTAATTTGCATATTTAGATGGACGAGCAGGATTCGATCGAGCTTAATTCATTCATTGGAGAAAATAATGTGCCAGTGAGCGTCCCAGATCCTGGTTGGTTGAACGATTTGTGGACTGATTAGGCGGTTAAATTAATTATATAATAAATACATGTATTCACTAGTAATATATTTATGTACCAATTTTTTAATCGTTCTGCTCTAAGTATTACGTAAGGGCTGTGCATACATAACTAACGAGGCACATTTTCAGAAAAAGTTGCAAGGACGGAAGCTATATACAATTTAACTAAAATTAGAAAGAATCGATACTTATGAAGCATGAAATATTTACATATGTATGCCAAAATTATTTTTGAAAACATGAATTTATTACAATGAAATATATTGTATACGTTTGTAATTTTACGTTCGTGTGTTATTATCAGAGTGCGGTAATATATTTGTCTTTGATTCCTACATTTATGTTTGTGGGTGTGTTCCTTAGATGTATCTTAAATGTAAATCAATTCCAAAATGCTTACCGACATATTCATAAATGCATTTGTTTCGTAACTGTTTCCGCTATTTTGTGAAAAGTAAATATGTACGCGTATTTTTGAAATATTTTTTAATACATACATTTCGTAAATACAATTATCCGAGATGAATTTTTTTCTTAACGAAATCGAATCATAAAAACTTGAGAGCATTATGCACAAAAATGCAAATGTTATTTAGATTATACTCTCTCAAATGGTGAAAAATGATGTACAGATTTTGCCGTCAAATGAAATTTGGTACACAACTGCAAATCCGCAATGCAAATTTAATTATGCAACATATAAAATTCATGGCTTATGCACAACAAAGTAATATAAGTTGTGGTTATCAGAGCACCTTATCGGGCGATATCGTAACCAATTCAGCCGAACAGTGACTGGAATCCACCCGTCCTTCCAACCCAACCCCTCTAAAAGATCTGCACTTACTAACAATTACGGTGGCAGCCAACGCCCAAAAGTATACAGCATCCAGAGACAACTCCACTCTAATTTTAATTACTTATTAGATTTTCAAAAATTAAGTTATTGTAACGAATAAAAATTATCGTAATTCAAGACAATTGAATCAAAAGATTAAACAAACCAACCCGAGAGTGATTCATACATATTTATGACAAATTTTATGAACGAGATTTTAATTACGAATTTTATTGTGCCAATTATTCCCTTGTGTAACTCTGACTCACATACTTCTCCAATTCAATCGTTTCTTACCTCCGGATACCTTCTGGCGATTTAGGAGAGTAATTACGGTAAGAAAGAGGCGATTTTATTCAATCGATATGAAAAATTAATTTTAATAATGTACCTTAATTACTGGATTTCACCGTAATTTAATACCTATACTATTTCTTTTTACAGAAAAAAGATACTGAAGTGCAGCAAATTCAACTACTTTTTGTAAAAAAAAGTAATTTGAAGCTATTTAAATAATTCCACCATCAAGACTTGTCTGAAGTACGTACATACAAAATAGTTTTTGTACCATTTATTTAACCGATAATTTACTAATCTTTTTACTTTCCAGAATAACGATGGACGACTTTGAAGATATCAATGACTTGTTGTTCGACTGGCAAAATTGCGAGGTACCAGCTTTGGGGGATGACAACGTAGAAGCACGACCTCCTTCGGACGATGCAGTCCCCGAGTTGGCCGTTTTACTTCCAGTTAGGGCGGCTAGTGATGAAGGGGAAATTGATGAGGGGCAACCTTTCTTTGCGCTGGAGGAGAACGATGACGAGTTAGGACTTGACTTGGAAGGTTCGGGTTCCCCGTGGGACGATTTGTTGGCCAATGCGGCCGCAAGGGACGTAGGGGAAGTTCATGGGGGACAATCTTTCCCTGTGGGGGTTGAAAACGGTGATGAAGTCCATGACTCGGCGGGTTGGGCGCTAGGCGGTCCTCCTTACTTTGTGGGGGCAGAGGGTCAAGGGGATGGGGAAACGTCGGGCATCGCCCAAAATACTGGGCAGGAAAAGCCAGACAACGAGTTACCTGGCGAAGACATGACCCCCGCTTCTCCTCTACATTCCCCCGCACAACCACCTACCGTGGAGAAGAGGAAGCCAGGAAGACCTCGCCTACACAAGGAGAAACCAATCCCCTCAAAGAAACCTAAAAAATACGAGCTGGACCCCGATCCAAACGATAAATCAATTCAAAATTCGATAAACGCGAAGAAAAATCGGGAAATGACGAAGGCTAAGATGGAACAACTTACATCTGAGAATGCTCGACAGGCCGACCAAATTAAGAAGATGGGGGCTCAACTTAACATCTACAGGGACAGATTTGGGGATATTTTTCCCGAAAACGGTGAGAATCCTGGTGGTTTTGGACCAGAAAACCGGGACGGGTCTCACGACACGATTTAATCCATGGTGGTGACGGGCGTAATGATTCACATAAAAAGATATTGCACTATATAATTATATAAATGATGATTATTTTAATTAGTAATTGATATTTCATGGATTCAGATTTTAGATTGATCTTTATAAGCATTCCATACAAAATTTTAGAGAGTTGCAACTTCAATTTACTTTTTTTGCCACAAGCCGTCACCACATTTTTGGAGTTAAATAGCAAAAACGGATAACTTAATAAAATGTTTATGCACATTTGTATTGTTTCGTATAACGGCATTGTATGTACAATGTCGTTATACTAAACAATCCAAATGTGCATAAACATTTTATTCATTGTACGAGATCCGTATAAATATACTGGGTGTATCCACATTTGCAACCAGCGTGGTGTAAATATTTACACCGGCAAGTGTAAACTCAGGTTGCACGTGTGGATACACCCAGTATATTTATACGGATCTCGTACAGTGCATGTTCATATCTACGAGGTGTGTATACATTTGTTTATGCAAATCTTAAAATTATTTTCTAATGCAGAATATTTACTTATGCAGATAACCTAGTATTATAAGATATACACTTTTTACACAGAAAATATTGTAGTCTAGCTTAACTTTCTTTCGAATCCAATTAATAAACTGTGTGGTTAATTTTGTGGAAAACATGTAGATTTTAAAATATCATGTAAAATATAAAGATGTAGTTAATAAAAATGTGGCGAAATAAAAAGTTCTTATTGCATTTATTTATGTACATATGTATCAAAAATTGAGCTGGATAACTGCATATGCATTATTTTCATAAGCGGCTTATGATAAGCCTATAAAGTTGACACTGAATCAACTTATTATGTATGGGCATCCTCTGCCTTCTGTACATATGGAAATTTTGGCCAGGCTTCATGGTACGCGAGTATGACTAAACCAAGACAAGGGCATCTTTATAAGATTGTGAGCTGAAGAGCACACCGTGAAAAATAACTATTACTAATTGGTAATTGTGGATAAATTTATAATTCTACTTGTTTAAAAAATACTTACATTTTTTACTTCAAAAACCCATATATTCTGTAAACATTTCAGGTAAAGTAATATTTGGCACACCCAAAAGTATAAATATGTGCACAATTGGATCGTTTCTCTTGGCAATGGTAATGCATGTAGTTTTCGAAAGGAATCTGGTAACCGACTCATCATGCAAAATATACAAGCACCTTTACATAAATTCGTTTATACATACATCTTGCAAAATTCATGGCTTATAACAAAGTGAAATAAATCGTGGTTATCAGAGCACCTTATCGGACGAGATGAACAACTAGGTGATTGGAATCCACCCTTCCTCACAACCCAACCCCTCTAACAGATATGAACTTAAGCACAACTAACAATGCCAGCCAACCTTCCAAGCATGCATCACCCAGAGACTGAGGATGACTTTAATTAATTGAGTTTCAAAAATTAAATTGTAATTAATTTTTACTTATTTAATTGGAAAAACAATTATGAATATTCAGGCAAAATAGGTAAAAAAATCGTAACCGTATTTTATCACGAGTTATATAACGGAAACCTTAATTGCGAATTTTACTATGCAAATTATTTCCCTGTGTGACACTGACCCACTGACCCACTTCTCTATTTCAGCGTTTTTTGACCTACAGTAATATAAGTGTAGTGACCTTCAAGCAATTCCGGTATGAAAAATAGGCGAATTTATGGTAACAATATGGTAAATTAATATTAATACTGTCCCTTGATTATTAGATTTCACAAATATTTAATACATGGGCCGTTTAGTTTTACAGAAACGGCAACGCTGACCTACATACTGAATTGACTTGCTTTTTGCTAAAAGTAATTTGCAAATATTCAAAGAATCGCGGACCATTAAGAACATTAAGACCATTAAGAATTTTTCGACATATATCTAAGAGTTCCCTCAATATCATTTATTTGATTAATCATTCACTAATCTTTACAAAATTTTCCAAAGGTGTATGTATGTAAATACGTAGCGTATTTTTGGATGATAAAACTTCCTACAAACATTTAAATGCAGGGTACTTAACAAAGTATTGGAGATGGACAATCGGTATTGTAGTGTATGTATGTAAGTAGGTTTGTGTCCTATCCAACTGTTAATTAGTAAATAAGCTATAGAATTAATTAATAAGGACGAGAAATTTGTTTACAACATTTTGTGGAAAATGTGTAGATTAAAAAATCTCATTCTTGTATGCAACACAAAATGAACTGATTAGTAAAAACGTTAAATATACAATTTCTATTTCGCTTACATCTTGACAACACATTATTTTCATAAATCTGTAAAAATTCAAACCACATCTAAATAATACTTATCATCTTATATTCTCTTAAGTGGAAGTTCGAATGCAAATAAGGATAAACTATTTATGCAGTGAAATTAACAAGGCAAGCATATATCATGTTATTAGTTATTTCTTTACATAAAGTGCATGTACACCATTCTCATGAAAATATATACGTAGCTTGAACAATTCTAGGCATCGCATAAACTCCCTCAGAAACCTCATATCTTCATAATTCAAAAATTTCTACAAAATCGAAGTGTTGCACTACACCCCATCGAATTGTAAACAGAGAAGGATACGATGCTGAAGATGCAAACACATACATATATGTATGCAATAAATACTCATTTATGCCGTAAATATTTTCAAAAATGTGAATGTATTTCATGTGAAATTTATTATATATTTACATACGCATTTATTCATATTACTCCGTTAATACATGATTATACACATTTATTTGATTTAAGTGAGAGCATGAAATCGATGTCGTTATTTAAAAATTGGACATTCTTACTATCTGAATGAATATATACGATTTTTTACATGAAAGTATTGAACTTTTAACAATTCATGCTGTGCAACAAAATGAAATAAATCGTGGTTATCAGAGCACCATATTGGACGACATAGGAACCAGTACAGTTGAGGGCTGACAGCAATCCACCCGTCCTCACAACCCATCCCCTTTAATGGATATGCTCTTATCGTCATGCACCGTGGCACAGTGTGTCGAGAAATTATTTTAAACTACAAAATCCTCCCATGGGGGTAGGAAAGCATAAAAATGTGTCTGAAAATTTCGGACTTGCATGAATCATGACCATTTCAATAAGAACTAAGTTTTGGGGAAAGTACAATTTTTAGGGAGAAATGAGAAAACCTTCTTTTCGGTGATGATTCGTGTAAATTGCAGAGGTGGGCAAGATCAAAGTTTTCGAAGATCAAGATAAAAGATCAAGATCAATTTTTGCGACCCACAAGATAAAGATCAAGATAAAGATAAATCTGCCGAATACTAAAGATAAAAGATCAAGATCAAGATCAAATCCCAGATCAAAATCAAGATCACAAGATCAAATAAATTCCAGGTATGTTGCAAATATTTTTTTATACATAAACCTATAAATACAACTAGGTGTAATGTACGTAGTGTGCACTGTGCACATTACAAATACTAGATAAGTAAAGAAAATTGGTTGTCTGACCAATTTTAGTTATTCAAAGCTGACAGCATCAAGGTTGTTATAATTTCGTATAGTTATATAATACATAACCAAACATTTACTCTGATGTTTTAAGTTGCCCTTATACTTCATTTCTTGGTAAATTAAGTAATAGTTGAAGTATCCGGTCGACGGGCTAACAATATTCGCATTTAGGAAATAGATCGCCGTTTGAAGAACTGGGTCCATTAATTCAGTAAAAAAAATTAAATCCCGTACGAGTGTTTTTCGTTTCCTTGAATGTACTTTGAGTAATGGACCAAGATGCCATTTTTAAAAAATATCAATGTTTCAAAATGCTACTTTTCATATTTGGGATTTGATCTTGAACTTGAACTTGAAGATCAAGATCAAGATAGAAGATCTTACCGAGCTAGATCAAGATCAAGATCAAAAGCTCCAGCCGAAGATCAAAGATCAAGATATTATCTTGATCTTTGGTCTTGATCTGCTATCTGAGATAATGATCTTGCCCACCTCTGCCTTTATTGTCAATTTACTAAATTGACAATAAAGAGTTCTTAACCAAAAACCAGCAAAAACTTGAAAAAAAAAATCCTCCTCAGATTTTAACAAGGTCATGATATAAGTTAGTCTTATGCAAATACTTCAAAATGCAGAAAGATTTTCTTGTGCATTTTCATATTCAAGGATTTGAGATTCCTACTAACTAGGGGTACCTTTTACCTGATAGGCGAAAAATGAGTTCTAATTTAACTTTTTGCATACATCATACTATGTTTCAAGCGTAAACTGCAAAAAATTTTTCTGAAAATGCAATTCGCGAATTTTTTATTAGGCTCCGAAGATTGCGAAATAATGGGTGGAGGAGCGGGCGAGTGGGAGAGGAGGGCGAGGCTGACCGAGCTCGCGAGGTCAACTCCACTCCACCCCTTCACTCGTCACTCTCCGTTTGCATTTCTCCAAATAAATTTCAGCAATCCAATAATAATGTTTTCTTAAATAATAATATAATAATCTTCAAGTACTTACATTTATTGACTTGAATTAAGCGAAGCGAGTTCATCCAAATCTGAATCATCCGAATGAAAGTGATTATCGATGTAAAAGTGATGAAAACACATATTAACAGAGCAGTGAGCACATTTGATAAAAGTCTCTCTATTGCACATTTCCTCACAGTCATCAAAACTAGTCGAAAATAATGTTTCTGCCACATTTTTAAACTTCACTCGGTCACTCTTATAGTTGCATGCAAACCATGCGTATTTGAACATCGGCTCAAAAGCAGCTGACTAGAACTGGTTGTACATTAAGGACTGCATTTTAATTACGTTTTGTCTTTTATGTAAATCGATATCAATGGAATCTAGGACTACTTTTTCAAATATCTTTCGACGAAATATTTTGTATTGTCTGAAAATATATTTATCCAATGGTTGAATGATGGATGTTGCTTTAGCTGGAATTTGGAACCTTGTGCATTGTTCTGAAAGTGATTCGTAGGTCAAATCGTCAACTTGTCCTGCCCAAGAATCGTAAATTAGGATGGCTTTATTTTCACTGATGTATGGAGCAACGCAATCAGTAATCCATTTCTTCATAATAGTTTTGTCCAACTTTCCTGACTTGGAGGCGACCAAATAAATGTTGGATGGAACCTCGAGATTTTTCTTGACTATTGGACCCAAATATCCTTGTGGTTCCTGGAGGCAAATTAATAATTTTCCGATAAATTTTCCACTCATGGATAATAATGGCATCACAGTGTACGAATGTGTGTTAGCATTGTGCGAAACAACCAATCCAAGAGTGTCCTTCTCTCCTTTAATTGATAAAGTCCGCTTCGGTGAATATTCATATGTAAATCCAGATTGGTCAAAATTGAGTACAAGGTCTGGTTGAACACCTATAAGTTTTTTGTTGACATTTTCCACAAACGTGTAGGCTGCTTCTTCGACATTACTTTTATTGTCATATTCAGCTTTTGTTAAATATTTCGTTATTTTGCGTGAAACAATTCGATTTTTTTTCTTAAAGTTGTGAATCCATGTTGAGCTAGCCTTAAATTGTAAAGATAAATCTTTGGATTTGATGATTCCCCAACGCTTTAAATCAACTTCACTAACATGAATTAAAGATTGTCTAGCATGATTAAATCTCTCCTTGACAAAAGTTTCCACTTTACTTAATTTCTCCAGCTTTTTACCATTCTGATCAACATACGTTTTCATCCGAGAGATTGACGCATAACTTCTAACTTTTGGGAAACGTCGCTGGGTTTGAAACAATTTGTTGGTTTTAACATTGTTATAAAAATTCACGATCTTTATCATTTCTTCAAGATTGTATTCTTCTTGCCCGATTTTTTCGACCTGCCATTCTTGGGATGATGCGAGACCTGATTCACGTGAATTAGCGTCGTTTTCACTTGCAGGAACGTCTTCATTTTCATAAATATCAATTTCATCGTCACAATCAATATCTAATGAAATAACTGTTTCACGTTCACTGCTGTCAGGATTCAATAAATTTTCAATTAACACAAGTGCTTCACTAGCTAACTGATCCAAGTTAAAATTATCTTCTACTAAAGATGTATCAGGAACAGGGTATTTTAATTTTGCTAACTCTAATAACGATTCACACACTTTAATAATTGTAGCCATATTTATTTTTACAATTAGACAATAATAATGAGAGAAAATTACAGCGCTAAAAAACTTTGAATTATTGGTGAGGGGTTGGGTAATGTGAATCACAATTGAAATGCTGAAATTTATTTGGAGAAATGCAAACGGAGGGTGACGAGTGAAGAGGTGGAGTGAGCATGGGAGAGTTGACCTCGCGAGCTCGGTCAGCCTCGCCCTCGGAGGGCGGCCCTCCACTCCCACTCCCCTGCTCCTTCACCCATTATTTCGCAATCTTCGGAGCCTAATAAAAAATTCGCGAATTGAATTTTCAGAAAAAATTTTGCAGTTTACGCTTGAAACATAGTATGATGTATGCAAAAAGTTAAATTAGAACTCATTTTTCGCCTATCAGGTAAAAGGTACCCCTAGTAAGATGGCCATTTTGAGGAACTTTTGCGACCTTGGGCTAAGTTTGACATGCATTTATTCGAACACTATTCCTTAGAATGGAACAAAGGTTACAGAGTAGTATGACCGTAGCATAGGATGCATAGGTCAGTTCTTGCTATTATTTATCCTTTAGGATTCAGTAACCCTCCAAAGTCCTTCGATATTCATATTTTACACGATGCTATGTTTCGTCAGCGTTAAATTAAACCCCCCCCCACCCTTCGGACGGCCATGGTCATGATATAAGTTAGTTCCGTGTTAGTACTTTAAATTCATAAATGATTTCCTGAGCATTTCTATTTTAAAGGATTTGAGGGCTTGAGCTTGAATTTCAGAATTTTTGACAAACACCCCGATCTTCCGTTACATTTTATTATTTGCAAGACTATGGTAAAAGTTGGGGGCACTATTGTAGCTCGTTATTCTTACTCTGGTTAATTTCTAAACAAAATGGGTGCAGTTCCACTGGGATTTTAAGACTTTTAAAATTCCATAACAACCTCCCTATTGACCACACCTCCCGTCGAAAATCAAAATGGACCGCATTCTGATGCTTTCCTACCCTCACGGGAGGATTTAGGACTTTAAAAAAAATTGCGTTTTTTAAGCTTTTCGGCACATAGTGCGTGGCAGCCTACGCTACGCCAAAAGGCATGCATCATCCAGACAAAGAGTAATTTAAATTAATGGATTAAAAAATTCAATTGTAATCTGTCCCCTATTTAGAATAAATACATATGTATGTACTTAATTCATGCAAATTTAAAAATCGTAATTGAAATATATGTAAATATTTTGTCACAACTTACGAGGCGAGATTACGAGATGTATGAATGAGACTTTAATTGCGAATTTTATTATGCAAATTATTCTCACGTTTCACCCTGACTGACTTACACGCTTCCGATCAGACTTGCTAATTTCTGGTGCGGCGAACCACCACACCTAAGTTAAGCAAGTGAGCGCACCGGTTCGCCGAGCCAGAAACTAGCAAGTCTGCTTCCGATACTAGACTTCATTAGTCATGAAGTTATGGGGATAAAAATAAAATAGAAATATATTTTGTAAGGTCACTCAACCTTGAAATGTTTAATTTCAAGTCTATCGGGCAGTTGTATGTTGTTTACGTTTTGCAACAAAATTTGGGTAGAGATAAACGGGCCCAGGGTGGAGTTTGAGGGCATATGATTATTTTGCGTGTTTATGACAGAGACGTTCCGTCGAGTTAAATTGTTAATATTATTTTTTTAAGTTATGCGTAATTTTCTTGAAAATAATATGTATGTACAAAAATCTTGCAGTCACGTACTTATATAAGCCCGATGGGTATTGATCATAGAGTTATATCAATATAAGCAGAGGGAGTACCATTGCTCTTTGTTCAGCAAGAATGCAAGCCACGTGATGTTTTGATTTGGTTGAGAACATAAACATTACGTCATCACTCATCACCACCATCACTAGAATGTTATATACAACACATACAAGGCATGTATTGTATGTATAAAATTCTGTGAGGTTGTTGAGACTCAGTTTCAACGTCAGGTACAGGTACCATGTTACCAAACTTGTTACCAAATTACGATAACCTTCAACTTCTCATTATTTCTTCATGACAAATATTTTCGAAATAATTTTTAAGTAATTCTTAACTAATGTTTCTGACCACGGTCAATAAACCAACTTAGATACACATTGTGGTTGGATGGACCCCACTCCAATCTGCTTGTTTTTCCCCAACATGAGAGCCATCATACAAGAAGTAAATCGTCATTTTAGTCTGTTTAGTTGTGGTTTAGTTTGAGGACTGTCGGTATGGTGGCTCGTTCGCATGCAATTTTAGATCACCCAATCAATTAACCTGCTCCTGTCAGGCCTTGGTATTGATTTACTTGATAACTTCCTACCGGATTAGTAGTACATAGTTATTCCCTTATATATGTAATTAATTTAACCACCGAATAGAATTTATAATACAATTATTTATTGGCTTGGAATAAATTCATGTTAGTGAAAATAATTCCAGTATAAAAATTTCATACATACATCGTAAACATTGTAGCCGTCTCATTATGCTTCAAATTACTTATTGCGAGCGAGCTCGATAAGTGCTTGACAACAAAAATGCATTCATCCGATCCCTCCAACTTTGTCAACCCATGCCCGAGAGGCCGGGAGAAAAATTAGGCTCTCCATTTTTACTGCCTGATGACCTGATGACCCTTCCCTCACCGGATGGAGAGCAACAGCGTTACATTAAAATAGAAGTCTGGATGAATGTCTGCGTATATATGTGTGCATTGTATGGATGAATAGAAAAAGGTTCAACAATGATTATTCCGTTTGGGGGCTTCGTACAGAAGGGAATAAATCTTAAGACAATCTCAAGCTGCCTCAATTTATGCACATTTATTTACGACATGTATAGAAAACGATACACTTTCTCGCATGAAAAACACTCACAAGAATCCACTAAATATCACATTATTGTCCCCAAATTTTTTCGAAAATGTATCGCATTACTTATTTATGCAGACTCTCTCATGAAGCAATTAAAGTGGAACAAATGATTTAAAAAGTTTGTAGATAAATTATATATACTACTAGTGAATATATGTATGTATCCGATAATTAATTAGACCGCCGAATCAGTCCAACTCTTTAAGGTGCCCTACCAGGATCTGGGACGCTCATTGGCAAATTATTTTCTCCAATAAATGCATAAAACTCGCTGGAATTCTCCTCACTCATCTATGTACATACATAAATATGCAAATTAACATAGATAAAAACGTTATATTTATTAATTGTATTGCATCGTCAACATAATTAGCTTAAATCCCTCGCAAATCACGCTGCGAATTGCCCTACATGACAGAAGAGCATTCTGCATCCCGTCCAACAGTTTGAACGATCCGGGAACCAAAGTATTAACAAATTTTACGCCCGTATTCGCCAGCCCTATGAATATTAAAATTAGTACAGTTTCTGAAATCTTAAATTTTGTTATCTAACTTCAAACCTTGCCATTCTGCGACCCCTTGCAACACAGAAGTTCCCACGAAGTCCAATTCTTTCCTGGAACACGGCGTCCACGGCCAGTTAAGCCTGATCTCCACATGTCATCCGCATGTCAACACCCAACAACCCAAGGATTGCAGGGTTTCCTGCAAAGGTAAACAATCTTGGTCTTGGACCACGTATTCGTAGTTCTCATAAGGGCTGTAATCTTCATGATCTTCAAACTCAATCGCCACGTCCAACTTGAATTCATTCACGGCAGGGAAAAGGTTAACCAATTTGACAGCAGCGTGTCCATCGTAGTCGTCAGTTTCGGGATAAAACGTGTAACCCATGTGGAGCGAGGTTATCCCGACGTGGTGCAAATGGTAGCTCTCCATCATTTGGAAAATGCTGGTAGAAGAAGCGATCGAGAAATGCGTCAGTTTTGGAAGGTTTTTGATGTTGAGCGAGTCCTCAATTTTATACGCCATAGAGTCATCGATTTCCAAATGGGTGAGATTCGGGAAGTCTAAATCAAGCTGAAAATACGCATAATATTAAGAAGTAAAAATAGGGTTGGATTTCTTGCAAAATTTCCACTTTCATTGCGCTGCAGTGTGAGCAAAAGTACAAGAAATCTGCGCCATGTTGAGGTTCTGTGTTGCACACAATTATATGGATTATGGCGCATATTTCTTGCATTTTCCACTACTGCAATATGCAGTAATTTCTTGCAGTCTGGCAATATCTAAAATATGCACGCATAAAACAATGAAGTGACTTGTCCATAAAACCAGTCCAAATCTTTAGGCCAAGTCCGAAGGCCACCAACCAGGATCTGGGACGTTCATTGGCAAATTATTTTCTCCAATAAATGCATAAAATTCGGCCGCATCGTTCTCACTCATCTACATGCATAAATATGCAGAATTAGTAACAGAAATAAGTTATAACAGTTGCATATTTATTTTGTCAGACAAACATTTACCTCAAATTCATCACAAGTCACGCTTCGAATTGTCCTGCACGATAAAAGAGCGTCCCGCATCCCGTCCAACAGTGCAAATTGTCCGCCAACCCAGTTATTAACAAATTTTACATCAGTATTTTCCAGGCCTATGTAAACATTTAAATTAGCATACTTTCCGAAATACAAAACCGTTATTAAAATTGTACTTCAAACCTCGCCATTCCGAGACTCCTTGCAACACAGAAGTCCCGACTAAGTCCAAGTCTTCAGGTGGACAATACCCCCTCAACCAGTTAAGCTTGATTTCCACGTGACCTCCGCATGTCAATCCCCAACCCGCCAAAGATTGCAAGGTTTCCTTCAAAGACAAAAGATCCTGGGCCTGGACGTCGAACTGGAGCCGGCTATAAGGGTTGAAAGGGTCTTCGTGCAGTATAAATTCAATCGCCACGTTCAACTTGAATTTGTTCACGGCAGGGAAAAGGTTCACCAATTTGACGCTAGCTTGTCCGTCATTGTTCTCATTTTCTGGATAAAACGCGCACCCCACGTGGAGCGAGGTAATCCCGGCGTGGCGCGAGTGGTAGTTTTCAATCATTACTGAAATGTTGTTGGAAGCAGAGATCCACAAATGGGTCAGTTTTGGAAGGTTCGTGATGTTCAGGGAGTCCTCAATTTCATACGCCATGGAAGCTTCCAGTTTCAAGTGGGTGAGATTCGGGAAGTGAAAATCAAGCTGTAAAAAACAAAAAAATGAAGTAAAAACAGTGGTCTCCTTGTAAGTTACAAGGTAACACATATTTGTCCGTCATATTTGTCATAAATGTCAGACAAATTGGAATCGTGACAAATTGGACGGGTCAAATTGACAAATATATGACAAATATTCGGTTGACACGGACAAGCTCCATCCTTACTGCGCTGAAGGTGTAAGAAATGCAGGAAATATGCGCCATCTAGAGGCCCTCTGCGCTGCACAATTAAATCATAGGGATTGTCCGCTAGACGGCGCTTATTTCTTACAGAACTGCAAATTTTAGGAATTTTTGCTGTTTGCAAATTATACACGCAAAACCCATTTTTTGCAGTAATTTCGTGCAGGCGAACATTTTTATCGCAAACACGAAAGAAATATAGTTTCTAACTTTAAAAAATATGGTGCGATTATAATAATTAACTACCCACGAATAAAAGTCAAGTTTCTAACTTTACCTTAAACGGACCATCCCGAAGACGCCCATGATCCCCAAAGGTCAACTTTTTCAACGAATCACGACAATTTTCTAACATCCTGGTCAACTCGTGAATATCCAAAACTTGATTGGAATATTCCGCACCTTGATAGGCGAACTTAAACTCTTCAAGTTTGCGACAGGGTGTCAAATCCGGGTAAAAATTCCCCTTTAATTCAAATTTCTCTAAGTTGGGGGCACAATTGAGCAGCCCTTGGGAAATGGGGGATAAGAAGTCGCTTGCAAAGTGGTCTTCCTGGCTGGTGGACATCATCACAGAGAGAACCTTAGGATGACATAGGTATTTAGGAAGATGATTTGTAGTGGCATGCATTTCCAGTGAAATGTTCTTAAATGCACATTTCTAAAATGGCATCAATTTCGTGGATTTTAAAGAGATACATAAGAGCAAGTTTTAAATTGTCAAAGTGAAGTTAATTTTTGACGCTACAAAGTCTTCGTTTAAAAAAATGTTAAATAATTTGGTACTTTATGAACAGAGGGCGGATATGTATGTATTTCTAACTTTTTCATATCAAATCAGATCGTACTAAAACTTCGTATACTGATATCCCATCGAAGCGTGATCTCAAAAATTCAAACATAGTTTTCCATATTTTACATATTTTAGGATTTTTGTACATATACATATTTTCATACATATTTTGAGGTTTTTTGCGTACATGCACATATTTTCCAACATATTTGAGCCTTTATCTAAATATAAATATTTTGATACATATTGCGAGGTTTTTTATGTAAAAATCTTTTTCTTTATTCGGAAGTTAAAGTTTTGTCAAAATTAAATTTTCATGTAAACGACTAGCAAGCAAATCCAGTTTGCCCCATTTTTCAAGCCAAAAAATTACCTCTGAAATCTCTAAATAACTAATGTAGCATTATTGGTCATTAGGTGAAGATTAAAATAAAATATTGAATAATTCGTTGATAAAAGTGTTAAAAATTAGGAAGGTCTGGAAAATTAAATGTAAATACACTAGAAGATTGCTACATATTGAAATTGCTATATTTTTTATGTGCATATTTTCGAGTTTTTTAAGCACATTGTTAAATTATGACGTAAATGTACACATAGATAATTTTAATTGCAAAATAATTGGCAGACATTTCTATGGCGTTACATGTAAAAATGATAGACTAGAAATAACTCGATACCGTTTTTGATAATTGTGAAAATTGTGAGCTCTTGTCAGAAATATCAGACTTTGTGATACTGATACTGTTTTTGCGTGGTCAATAAAAGTTCTGGGAGTGTATCTGACTTTTCCTTGAGACAAGTTTTCGTGTATTTACGAGTCAGAGTCTAGATCGGGTAGATTTAGTCGTCTTTCGAAATTTGGTGACCTCGACGTGATTTTTCCGTGCGGTTGGAGACTTGTCAAGTATAGGAGCCATGGATCGCCCCAGGAGAGCAAGAGGACCATTGCGACGCGTATTCACGACGTTAGTGAATGAAATGAAGGAGGAGTTGGCCAAGGAAGACCCTGATGAAGAGGTCCTTGAGGTCCAACTTAACCGTCTGGAAGGTTATGCTGAAAAGATGACGCATTTTGACAATGTGACTATGGATGCATTATTAGATTCAAATGCGACAGAAGAAGAATTAAATGAAGAGACATTATCATGTGAGGAATACAATAAGAAGCTGGTGACTATGAGGTACGCATTACGTAGATTTCTATCGAAGAAAGACCGGTCAGCCAGCCCTTCTTCAGCCAATGTTCGGAGTCTGGAGTCTACATCCACCAGGGATAAGAAGACGTATCGACTGCCAAAGTTGGAGCTGAAAAAATTTGGAGGTGATCTCATCGAGTGGTTGTCTTGGTGGTCACAATTTGAGAAGATCCACCTTGATGAGGATTTGGAGACTTCGGACAAGTTTCAATACCTCGCCCAGAGCATGATGGTGGGATCCAGAGCTAAGGAGCTGATTGACAGTTATCCAATGACTGCTGCCAATTACCACAAAGCGGTGCAAGCGTTGAAAGAAAGATTCGGACGGGATCATCTACTGGTGGAGGTGTATGTACGGGAACTACTGAAGATGGTGATCTCTAATGTCTGCAGCAAGGACAAATGCGACATCATGAAGATGTATGACAAGTTGGAGTCACATCTTCGAGCTTTGGATTCGCTTGGAGTGACCACCGACAAGTGTGCTGCCATGCTGTTTCCAATTGTGGAGTCGAGTCTACCCGAAGAATTACTACGTGTATGACAGAGAAGCGAAATTCCGAGCAGAGCTGATGCTGGAACCACTTCACTCACATCTCTCATGGAGTTCCTACGACAGGAAGTGCGCAATGAGGAGAGGATTTCGTTGGCACGTTCCGGATTTGGCATGACCAAGGACAAGAAGATACGATCAAGAGAAGATGGTGGTGGTGACAATTATGCAACTTCTGCAGGACTCTTTTCTGGACAAAAGACAGAATGTGCATTTTGCAAAAAGCCCCATCCCAGTCAAGACTGTTTCCGAGCGAAGACGTTGTCCTACGATGTCAAGAGACAAAAGTTGCAGGAAATGAAATGCTGTTTTTCTTGTCTGAAAGTTGGACATAATGCAAATAAGTGTCGAAATCCAATGAGATGTCAAGTCTGTCAAGAAAAACACCCAACAGTGATGTGTCCTGGACTATCGATCCCAAGGACAAGACCGGAAGTAGTACCACCACAAGCTGCGATGTCAAATCAACTGTGTCGTAATGATGTACTGCTACAAACAGAGCTTGTTCGAGTCATTTGGAAGGGAATAGAACACAATAAATACCGCATTCAGATAGAAAGTTTAAATGGTCATCATCGAGAATCACTGGAGGTGTTGGATCGCGATGATATCTGTGGTCTCATCGCACGCGTTCCGAGTGGACCATGGATCAAAGAGTTAGCAAATCAAGGCGTACATTTGACTGATTTCACTTCCGACAGTCCAGAAATTGAGATCCTGATAGGCAGCGACTACTATGGAAAATTGATGACCGGAAGAGTGGTACAGTTAAAGAGCGGACTCACTGCGTTCCAGTCTACATTTGGATGGTCATTGGGAGGAAAGGTACCAAAAGATAACATTGGTATGACGGTTACCTCACTGTTTTTGGCGTCAATGGATGAGTCGAAGCTGTGGGATCTTGATGTCATCGGAATTACTGACCCCGCTGAACATCTCAACAAGAAGGATCGAGACAAGGAAGTGAAGGAGCATTTTTTGCAGTCAGTTTGTCGTGAAGAAGACGGGCGTTACTGTGTATCTCTTCCGTGGATGGATGGACGTCCAAATATACCGTGCAATAAAAATATTGCAGAAAGAAGACTTGTTTCTGCGACTGAGAAGATTATTCAGTCCGGATACTACGACAAGTACGACGAGGTGTTTGAGTCGTGGCGGAAAGAAGGCATTATTGAAGAAATTGAAGATGATGACGAAGTCTTCTCACACTACTTGCCACACCGTGCAGTGATCAAACCAGAAAGCATTACAACACCAATTCGTCCCGTATTTGATGCGAGTTGCAAGACGAGACGTACACCATCGCTCAACGAGAGTTTAGAAAAAGGTCCGAATTTGTTGGAGCAGATTCCGGACGTGCTGTTACGGTTTCGACGTGGACAAATTGGAGTGACGTCGGACATCCGAAAAGCATTTCTTCAAATCAAAGTGACACCGGAAGATACAAACTACCTTCGTTTTCTATGGTGGGAGGACTGGAGTAAAAAGAAACTGAAAATCTTTCGTCATCTTCGTGTCGTTTTCGGGGTAAACTGCAGTCCGTACCTTCTGGGAGCTGTGATCGAACATCACTTGAAGTCCGTAAAAACAGTGGAGAAAGACGTGGCTGAACAATTGTGGAAATCCCTGTACGTGGACAACTGTGTCAGTACCGTTTCTTCTGAGAGTGAGTTGGAGCACTTCAAGTCTGCTGCTACAAAAATTATGGAGGACGCCAAGATGGATTTACGTATGTGGGAGTGGAGTCATCAGGACAACTCTATCACTTCAGTATTGGGGATGAAGTGCAACAAGGCAGATGACACTTTAGGATATCAAGTGGAAGAATGTGCACAACAACAATTTACAAAAAGAGAAGTCTTGTCGTGTGCACAGAAATTTATTGACCCATTAGGATATCTGTGTCCCGCGCTAATCGTCCCAAAAATTATTCTGCAAGAAGCGTGGAGGAACAAAATTTCTTGGGATGAAAATTTAGATGAAAATCTAATTACCAAATTTACTGTGTGGATTAGTGAGGTGCCCTCATTCCAAGAAATATGGATAAAAAGAAACGCTTTTGGAGACGGAGAAGGAAATAAGCAAATACATACATTTGTGGACGCTAGCAAGTCGTCGTATGCTGCTGCTGTATTTTTAAGAGTGGATAATGATGGAGAAGTCGACCTTCATCTTCTTCAAGCACGGTCAAGAGTTGCCCCCATTAAACAAGTATCCATTCCGAGGTTGGAACTCCTAGCGTGCACCATCGGAGCAAGATTGACAAAGGTGGTGAAGAAAGTCTTGTCAATGGAGGAGGAGAAAACATTTTTCAGGTCAGATTCATCTACAGCACTAGCATGGATAAGGAGAGATGACATCTGGGGAAAGTTTGTGGGAAATCGTGTACGCGAGATCTTGACCCTGAGCAAGGAAGAAGAGTGGCGTCACATCCCGGGGACACTCAACCCAGCCGATCTACCTTCTCGTGGATGCAGCCCTGCCCAGTTACGAGATTCGCGATGGTGGGAGGGTCCACACTGGTTGAAACCGGATGAAAAATCATGGCCAGTTGAAAAATTTATCACGAATGAAGAAGAGGTCATGTCAGAGAAGTTGAAGAGCCTAACCGTAAACCTGTTGACTTCATCTGCAGACGTCCCGTGGTATTGCAAGAAAATTTTGTCATTCAACAAAATTGTCAACCTCATGGCGTGGATCTTGAGATTTGTGGAGAAGACGAGGAAAACAAGTAATTCAAATGGACCACTCACTGTAGGTGAATTAGAACATTCAGAAAAGAAATTGTTAAGTCTTGTACAAAGTGAAAGTTTCAAGCGTGGCGAGAAAACAATCGCGAATCTACGTGTCGTTTGGGATACTGGTGACGGAATTGCTAGAGTTCAAACTAAATTACTCATGAGAACAGACATGGTCAATTTCAAGACACCAATATTATTGCCGGAAAAACACCCATTCGTTCGTCTTCTGATTCGCTACATTCATTTCAAGAGTGGACACGGAGGAACTCAATATGTCATGGGTCAACTTCGCGAAAAATATTGGATCATTCGAGGACGGAAAGCTGTTCGTCAAGTGATTACCAGTTGTGTAAGGTGCAGAAGATTTAGTGCACAACACGTAAAAACTCCTGAAGCCCCGCTGCCAGAAGACCGAGTTCGGACATCTGTGGCGTTTGAAATTGTTGGAGTAGACTTGGCGGGACCACTATTTCTCAAAGGAGGAACGAAAATATGGACCGTACTCTTCACTTGTGCCGTATACCGTTGTGTACACTTGGAGTTGGTGAAATCGTTGAGTACCGAAGCTTTCCTCATGGCATTTCATCGTTTTATTGACCGAAGAGGAACTCCTGCGGTCGTGTACAGTGATAATGGGCGCAATTTCGTGGGCGTCTTTCGTCAACCTGTTTTCATCCATCAATTGGGATGAAATAGAAGAAAAAGTTCGAGAAAGACGAATCGTATGGAAATTCAATCCTCCGACAGCTGCTTGGTGGGGAGGCTGGTGGGAGAAGTTGATTGGATTGATGAAAGGAATCTTGAAAAGGATGTTAGGACAATCACGACTAAATTACGAAGAACTGATGACCTGCATCATACATGTAGAGAACGTACTCAACAATCGTCCTCTGACAGTAGTGACCGAAGACCCACAAGATCTCAAAGCATTGACCCCTTCAATGTTTTTACTCGAAAACAAGAATGATGTTTCACCAGAAATGGAACAAGTCAACATCGAGGGACTGAACAAGAGGTTGAAGTTCTTAAGAAAAATAAGAGAAGAACTGCGGTCACGATTCAGGAAAGAATATTTGGCACTTCTAGTCCAACGAGGGTCCGAGAAGACGTCGGATTTGAAAATTGGAGACGTTGTTTTAGTAGGATCGGATGGCGTTAAACGTCAAGATTGGCCTATGGCAAAAGTGGTGGACCTCATCCCTGGAAGAGATGGATATTCTCGGACCGCAAGAGTCAAGACATCGTATGGTGAATTGTTGAGACCTGTTCAACGTCTATACCCCATGGAGGTTTCATCAGCAGAATCAACAATTTCATCATTATTGTGTACATACATATAGTGTCGTAATTTTGATTTAATCAGTGTAAATGAAAAGGTGGGAGCGTTAAATTGATTATGTTGAGCCATTCTAAAGATATCCTGCTTACGGACGGACAGACAGACAGACGGACAAAGTGATCACAATAAGTAGCTGACGCTACTTAATAACTGATATTCAACTTCTGATTGCAAGACATGCATCCGAGAAAATGTTGACAATGTGTGTTAATAACCCATGCATTATCAAAGCCAAGAAAAAAAACATGTTGTGACAACCGCTTTTGACCGCCTCAATTTTGAATTAATTTATTTTTTGGCAATAAGTTAATAATATTTTGGCATTACCTTAATTTCGCATCTCCCTTTGAAGAGGTTATAAACATTTATTTTATCACGAAACTAGGATATTGTATCTGAAATAACCGAAATACCATGTATCCTATCCGTAGTCTCACATAAAGTTAGTTATGGCATACTTATTACGAAATTTGCGAAATTTGTCACATTTAATGAAACTTCTCAAATTGCAGCAATTTTGTTGTATGGAGTGTGTCTCGTAAAATAAATTTACCATGAAAATTATTGTCAGCTAAAGTTTTTTCCAGTAATGCCACGAGGTCTCTTAAGATGTAATTTGAACATCTACGCATCGACTAATATGATATCTACCACTCGCATCTAACAAGGTTACCCGCAAGACACCAAATTTCTATAAATAAAGAAATAAAATTAATGAAAATAAGTTATTCCCCACTCTTAAAAATAATTGTATCCTTTTGACCGGTAAATACAGTCTGAATTGAATGCTTCGTAAATTAAATACCTAAACTTAATCCAGGATAACCTTTACTCATTATCAGGTTTACGGAATGTTGGATTTAGTGCATGTATTTACTTATTAGTTTAGAATTTAAAGTTCATTAACTTTTCCAAAGCGAAACATTATTTTTAAGAGTGTGCAAACGCGATAGATTTTTAAGATTGCCGAAAAATTACCCCTCCAAATTCTACAGGAATAGCATCCTGTCGAGTCACTATGTACCGGTTACCAGGTAGGAAGGAATCCCTCAGATATGTATTTGGGAAAATGTACGAATATGTTCCACCAAGTTCGAAAAACATTAGGTAGTAAACCATATTGTTTGTGTGATAAGCTGACAAAAGAAAATTAGATTTAATGACAATTTTTTTGTTACCTACATATCATGAAGTCAAAATTTAATGTACATAAATGCACTAATTTATTTGCTACCGGGCTTGAAAGTTATTGCGATCTTGTAGCTATTCTCCACATTAAGAGGGCATGGTTCTTGGGTGCAGTTGGTTATTTCTAACGTTACGAATACTGCAGTTTCCTCTTGTAAAAATAAATAATTGTATCTTAACGATTATCACAAGTATTAAAATATGCAGAATTTAATCAATGGGGGTATTCATTACAAATTTGCATCGTTAGTAATGTTAGCAAAAAGTTCCACATACGCAAAAAAAATCCGTTTACAAATACGCTGGCGAACTTGTGCAATTGCAAGCCTCATATTTAATTCTCAAATCTCTTTTTCTTAGTGAGGCAAATACCTGACAACGAATAAATTTGCTAAGTATGCATTTACCCAACACAAAAAAGTGACATAAGTCGATTTCTCGGCCATTTCTCAACCGATTTTGATGAAATTTTGCACAGATCATTGTTAGGCAATTTAGAAAAGATGTGCTAGTCGACTTGGCGAATTTTTGATTTTTACCCAAGTTATGTGCCAAAATGTGCAAAAATTTGCCCCTGAAAATATATTTATTTTTATGATTCATAAGTGGTGTATCCCAGCATGCTCGCTTATTGCAAATATTTTAGTCAAAGTCATTCCGGACATTTTAAGCGCAAAAGGACCTAAATCGGTTGAGAAATAACGGCGTTATTCAAGTTTGAAAATCAAAAATTTAATAAAACTATTCAGGGTGCCGATAATAACGGCGGTTGTGCAGTAAAAATAATGTCTTTGACAACCAATTACAAGTTTTAAATAAACAAGGCCTCAAAAAATGGGAAATCTTAGTGAGTCAACGCAATCACAGTTAATAAATAAAATTAGATTGAATAACTTTTGCATCACCGCTCTCGGGATAATTTTTACTGGGTCCACTGTAAATTTAGTTTTGCATACGCATGAACTCTTGCATTCATGAAATTAATGGAGATTACAAGATGACGTTTTCACTATTGAACGAGAAGTTGGCTAAATTGATCGATATGAAATATAATTGTGAACTGCGAATTTTAAATTTAGAAAGAGTTGAAAATCTACAATTTCTATATATAAATTTGGATATCCTATTAATTCCTATTCTGATGAAATCTCCAGACCCTGAGGGGGAGGGCAATTTTTCTAAATGATTAATTAATGCTTTCCGGAAAAATGATGCCGAGAGCGGTGATGAAAGAATTATTCAATCTAATTTTATTTATTAACTGTGATTGCGCTGACTCACTAAGATTTCCCATTTTTTGGGGCCTTGTTCCAATATTATGTTGCAACGTGAACTCGGAATGAATATCCACAATAACGTAATGATGGATTCAATCTTACGAAAAAAACAGATAGCCGGCGTTGGTTCAACTACTCCAAGGTGTCCATTACGATCGTTGGTACGGTTGAATGAAATGGTTGCACCCTGGCTGGCTGGACTAAAGGTTGCCATTAAAACAGCAACCAGCCCGACGATTTTCGACTTTTTTGAAAACTCCATTTATTTTTAGGCAACAAGAATTTGAGAACAGAATGATTCTCTGTTTACGAAGTCAAGTCCATACTGAACACTTTTACTGCGATGCTGATTTTACCAAACATACCAACTTTGATGGTGATAAACTGATTGTATAGATAACGATTACAAAATTAATTAAATACGTGTTTGTGATATACAAATGTTACATAACCTCAATAACATCGCCAGTCAATCGATTATACGGACATAAATACTTTTATATCAGTGATATACATAATAATGAATATAAAATCGGTTCAAAAACTGGTCTTCGATTATTCCAATTTTTCTCAAATCCTGTTTTAAGTAGATAATATCGTGCAGTAATAATAGCTCGGTATTAAAGTTTTGCCACATTGGTATCAAATTTATACCATATTGGTATCAAATTTATACCAATATGGTATAAGTTTGATTTGATTTGGACGGAGATAATTTTGACACCAAGCGGTAGTAAGTTTAATACCGAGAAACCAGTACCTGTCAGACATACTAGATTTCTTGTAGTGCACGCTTTCACACCAAATTTTAGTTGCGGTTGAAAATTTTTGAAAATCTAGGTCAATTTATGTGCTCCGAGGTCTGAGGTACTTAATACCAACTTTTGGCAGCGTACAACATACATATATTTTAGAAATTGGCGTGGGTTACTCCATCGAGTCCCTCAAGAATTTCAATATTCAATTTCCAGCTTATTAATGAAGATGATTATGATATTTGTAGCTTTTCCTAGAAGTGGCTTATTTTCTACGGTGGCTTAAAGAAGGTGGCTTTTGGTGGGTGGCTTACATCCACAAGTTAACTGCAGATGGACGTACATATGTAAATACATAAATGTATGGGGAGAGCCGATAAATAACTAAAATTTCCACTAAAATCTCATTTTCCTCCGACCACACCCCCTGGGTGTGAAGGGTGTGGTGGCTAAGTTAAGAGGATCCTCCCCTCGAAGTCATAAGTATGATGCCGTAAACCGATCTCGATTATCTCGATGCATTCAATACTATAGAATCCAACATATTATTTTTAGGTGTGCAGCTAAAAAATACAACAGCCTATCACCGAGTTTCACTGATTTGGGAGGACGTCGGCTTAGCTTTTATGTTTAATTCTCTGGACACAATATTTTCTTTAAACCAGAGCAATTTCCTTGATCAAAGATAAACATGTAATTTTCTAGGTTCATCGTAAACATCCAGGTAAATTAGTCTTACGAATTGTTTTTCTTGGATGAATGGTTGAAAAATATTTATTTATATGACATCAATTCATAATGAACTACGCACGGAAATGGTTTGGTTTAAGAAATTTGATCTTAAAAGATTTGTTAGCTATCCAGTAATTAATCGCCTTAAATTTAAACAACATTTCTCTTCATAGCCTAGCTTCTTTTGTTTGAGGCTTATAATCCAAGTAAACAATTTCTCGCTTATGTGAGGTTTGTTTTCCATTGTTTTGGTCAAATTTTGTAAAAATTGAGAATCATAATCTTTAAATTTGAACAACATCTCTACAGAGACTCATTTTCTTTGAGGCTTATAATCTGAGTAAACAACTTCGCATTACTGCAAATTTGTTTTCAATTGTTTTGGTCAAATTTGGTCAAAATTGAGAATCAACACATGACTAGCATATTTTTAAAAATTTCATAAATTATTCCCGAAAATGTTAACCACGTACGTCAAACTTTTGCTAACCCTACAAAATATATACTTTGACCATTTCCCGCTCCTGTATAAACTTCCCTTCGAATTCTGTCGGACTAAAGGAAATGGAATTCATGTATCAAAAGTGAAGCGCTCTTTCGATCTTGCCGTCTCAGTTTTCCCTGCCTTTCTCTTCGCCGCGGCCGTGTTCTTCTTTAATGTCGCAATGTATCTCTGTTTTCCTCTTTTGCGAAATCCGATGGGGGACGTAAAAATGTGGTCGTGGGGCTTGCTGGCTATCGTCTGCTTTTGTGGCCTAGTTTTCTACACGTTGTGGATGCTGGTGTATAAGAGCGAAGCCGTTTTCATGTTTAATGAGATCTTCCGGCATGAAGAAGAACCAAGAAAAGGTAAAATAGGTTTGAGAAAGTGAGAAATCACATTTAAAAATAATGTTACACAATTGAAAAGTACTTCTGAAGAGTAATTAAATTCTTAGTACTACATATATAATTAACTTTTAATAAGTAGGGTAATATTATTTTTAAGAGTGTTGCTAAGTTTTCTCTTTTTCGAATGATTTACATAACCATTTGTGTAATCAAGATATTCACTAGGGAATATCATTTAGTTTGTAATACACGATGTTATCAAAGGTCTACTACGTATTAATCCCATGTTTAAATTCAGATTCCAGAACTTGTCAAGTTAGCCTGGATGCATTATAATTTGCTAAGTTTAGAAAAAAAAAGGTCGTCTTTATTGATTCCCAATTTTAGCCATTACATTTGAATTACAAGTGAACCAAACCTCACATAAGTGAGAAATAGATGGTCACAGGTTCCTAACTATGGTGCCCGTAGTGCAATGGACACCGCACAGACCTGCTCAACAAGTCAGAGAGGAAAACCACAAGGGAAAAAACTCTCTGCCAGTACTGGGAATTGAACCCAGAACCTCCATTCGGCTTGAAGCACAGTGTGATGACCACTCGGCCACCACTGCCTGCCATTTTTTGGAATTTGGAATGCCAGAATTTGGTATGTATTTGCATTTCAAAAGGGTAACCTTATTTTCAAGAGCGCTTTTGTATTTACATATGCCACTAATTTAATGCAATAAAACTGAACTAGATCGGTTCGTATTTAACTTTAGAAAACATTAAAATAAATTTGACTTTCTTAATAGATCCTAGCCTGTGTCCAGACATGGTATCAACCACCATCGAGAAAGTATTCCTCCTCGGTTGCAATATCTTGATCTGGAACATTTACCTATTCACCCCAATTGCCGCGCTTGTCTCAACTTACCTCAGGATGGATCCACTTCTCCCATTTTTTAACTTCGTCCTCACTATGATCCCCCAACTCAAGAATCTTTTCATCTTCTTCTCATTTAATTCTGAAACACTTTTTTATTTGGGCATGTTCACCTTCAGGGTGGGTTGGGTCACAATTTTCATATACGAGGGTTTCCGGGTGGCGGCATTTTTGATAGGCTTAACGATCCTGGTGGGTAAGGTGGTAATTTCCTTGTTATCAAGTTTATCCCGTCTAACGGACAAATTTCAGTCGGCCATAACCCATCGCGGATTTAAGGCGCATTTGAAACTTTACAAACTTATTATGATCATATTCCAAAGTTTGGAGGGTCCAATTAAACCGACCGCGATCCTGGCAATCGTTGCCGGCACGGTAGCCGTTTCCGGTTGTTCGTTCGTCGTGGTCAGGTTGCATGGCGTGAATGAGGTTTATTTTACCGGATTTTGCGCTGTGGTTGCTATCAGTTCGGTAATTTTGACGAAAATTATTTTGGACACGTTAGGAAATCTGAGTATGGCTTCGGTTAGGTTGTTATTGCATTTTGGGAAGATTGAGATCCTCCTAGAAATGGGGGAGGGACACTGGAAAAAATTGTATTTGAAGGAGTTACGTTATCTGAAACCAATCTCGATACCGGTCGGGTTAGGGACGGCGAGATTTTCGAGAATGACGCAAAAAGTGAAGACGGAAATTTTGATGTACATGTTTGAAGCTAGTGTTAATTTATTGATAGCGTTTTAAACAATATACATATTGTTTTTCCGCTATACATACGTATATGTATTTATAGCGGACTTAATTTTGTATGTAAATGTGCGAGCATACTTAAATAATATATAAGTTCGGAAATACAAGATTTGTGTGAATAAAGCATTTTCCCAATAAATTCAGTACATTAAATAGTGTTTCATCAAGTCTGAATTAGTGATTAATTCGAAGAGATCATAGATGAATTTTGGGTTTAAAGTATTTATTTAGGCCAATGAGTATAATTTTATTACACAATAATTTTAACCTTTTAAATTAAGATTAAGCGAAGACCACGGTGAAAGCTGAATTGGCAACCAGGTTCAAATTTCTGACAAGGACTTCCCCAGACTCCAAATTCTCAAAGTCAGTGTGACTCACCCCGTTCACAGTGACACTGGTCGCAGGCGTGGTTAGTCCCATGAGACGAATCGTGTTCAGCGTCTTGGTTCCCATTTCTGGGTACCCATCATGCACCACGGTGCTCGTCAGGGTGCCAGAGGACATGGTATAAACAGCGTGGAAATAGGCGCCAGTCAGGTGCGTATCTGGAAACAAATTAACCAAAGTCAATTAAACAAATGAAACGTCAAATTGTGGCGTGCAAAAATAGTTGTACTAAAAATATTAATTACTATATATTTTAAATTGGTTGATTCTAATAGTAGCAATAATCGTGCAGGAAAATTTATGCATCTTTGTAATCAAGAGCCAGAAATATGTGAGAGTTAAAAACATGGTGATGGCGAATTAGTACATATATATATGCACGCTAAATTTTCACCCACGTGCAAATTAACGTCGAGGTAAAAATTCCCTCGAAACTTGAACTGTGACTAACGTTACACTTAAAACGTAAAGGCATAGCCTTCATGTAAAGTCCTTGTGCTCTGTTAAAATCTGCTTTTTAGAGTAAAAACAAGGGAAACCTCAAAAATAGAACGTTAACGGCAACGGTTAAGTCGGCCTAGACAAAACTTGACAGGGGTAAAAATTTCAATGCAATGATGTAAACTCGCACTTTCCCTAATATGAAAATGAAGTTAAATACGAAACAAAATTTAATCCCTCAATTGTCCGTAAAATTGCAAAAAGTGTTTAAAATTTTGAATGATCATACCGATACTGTCTCCGTCATCATAGAACAAATCCCCCACTGCACTCCCCCCATCGTCCAGCGCGACAATAACGCCGAGCGGGTTTAGTCGCGCGGCTTCCGTATTTCTTGCAGGCTCCTGCGTCGGAAGAACGTTTCCACCGACGACGTGCACATGGATGAAATCCAAAGGTGCCGTCATGTTCAACGTGTTCCCGCGGACTGGAATCTCGTCACCAGTATAGTACGAGAAATGGCGGGAATTAGGGAAGTAGGCAGTAACCCAGGTGGTGGCCTCGGTTAAAACGGGAGAAATTAGGAGTCCCGCTCCCCACATGAATTGGCGGTCGATCGGATAGGTCCTCGAATCGTCTTGGTGGTTGTACCAGAGAGGGCGGAAGACCGCCGTGCCGCTGGAGACGTGGTGGTAGAAGAGGGTGTACAGATATGGCAAAAGGGTGTAACGCACTTCAAGCGCCGCTTTTGTAGAGGCGGCAACCTGAGCACCCCACGCGCCGGGGTCTTGGTCCTAAAAATTGGAAAAAATAGAGTTTACATATTTACAGTAAAAATTGCATCTTGAAACCTCCATCCGCTGTAAAATTATATCGTAAACTAGTTTACATAGAAAAAATGGGTTAACCTATGTAAAATCATTAACCCTAGCAACGTGAATTTTGTTGTCAATAGCCTTTATAAAATCTAGTAATCGTCATGATTTTAATTTACGATACGAAAAATACGATACGAGCGAATCATGAACACCCTCAGTATCTTCTTACATAATTTGTTTAGTTAAATTTACTTAAATAGTGGGGTTTATAAAAAAGTCTCAAGGTCCCCACTTACAATGGTATCTCGTACGTTATGATTCCTCGAGAAGGGATAGAAAGCTCCCAACTCGCCCCACCTTTGACACATGGCAGCGTTCGAGTTTCCAATAAAACCACACGTGTCAGGACCAACATAACTGTAAAATACAAAATAAATGATTAGAAAATTAATTAAAAATTGCATGCAAAACAAATTATGCAGCAAGCAAAAAATGTATCTTATCGTACGGCATGCCCCACAAATTGAACTGCATAACGCCAATAATGCTAAAGTGGAGGTTTGACCAGTGCGACCAGTTGTCCCCCAGCCAGTGACTTGCCCATCGCTGCGAACCGATGAAAGTGGAACGTGACAGGACCAGGGACCGTTTTCCGGTACCGCTTCTGGCTCCACTAGAAAATTCAAGCGTATTTTTTTTCAATATGAGATTGGCAGGATAAAATCAAGTCTAAATTGGCATAATTGTCCACTTTACTCACATTAAAGTTGGCTCCGACTCGAACCACCCGTACAAGGAGTGGGTGTTATAATGGATCGAAACCGAGTCCACGTGGTCACCGCATAAAGTTTTAAAGTGCATGTCCGCCTTGTTCGCGTCGGTTTCTGAATAGACATTAAAAAATAAACTTAGTTTACCTCCACCATATACATTACCCTTTCTGTTCAAAAAATATTAGTAGTCGCAAAAGAATCTGAAAGGTTATACTCTCTATACAACCAATTAACCCTTCAAAAAGTTTGAAGTACACAAGTGCGACTATTAATATTATTAGAAAATATGTTTGGTTTAGCCCTTACTTGGCTGATATGGCGGGTAGTTCCACGTGTTGTTCGCACACCCCTGGATATCTCCATTATCAAAATTGGCCGGCTCATTCATATCAATCCACAGGCCATCGTAAGCGAGCAAATCGTGAAACTTGTCCACCAAATAGATCCACCATTCGCGCGTTGAATTTTTTGCGTAATCCGGGAAATGACAAGGTGCCGTGGCGCCGTACGGCCAAACATGGCCAGTCATCGGAGTTCCATCCTGCCTTTTTATCCATACATCCATCTCCGTCCCTAAAGTGTAGGGTTCGTAGTCCGCATCAATAGTAGAAATGGCGGGATCAAGAATCGTTATGAATTTGATGCCCTTTCCTTTAAGTTCTTCGATGTAGGCGGGAAGCCCGGGAAAATTGACTTCAGAGTAAGTAAAATCAAGTTCGTCGCGCATGATGTCGATCTAATGATTTGAGTAATTAGAAAATGTACATTTTTAAAAGCAATGTTACAATTTTGAAAACAAAAGTGCTCATTTTCAAAAGGGTACAATCATTTTTACGAGGCAAAGTTTCGAGTAATTTAATTACTAACATCGCCATATTGGACGTCATGTGGAATTTGGTAAAATTCAGTCCGGTCAACGGCCGCTTTCATGTTTGTGATGTTGTCGTAACCCCAGCGACAAAGTTGGAAGCCGAGGGACCAGTAGGCCGGCATTTGGGAACGACCGACCGCCTGGAGATAATTATAATTAATGACTGGTTTACTTTAAACAATAATTAAGAGGTTTTAAAATCCATTTAAGAGGGGTTAAGATACCTCCGTAAATTGTTGGACTGTCTGGTCAGGCGTTGGTCCGAGGAAAAAGTACATGTCGATTAAGCCACCGATCGTAATATATTTCATCGAGGGGCCGGGAAGCAGATGAAATTCTGAAATATTCGGATGAAATTGTATACAATTTAGATATGCAAGGCCAATTATGATGATGTCATTTTGCATAAAGTGCAAAATCTCTCTGCAAAATTACATGATATGGAAAAATTAGAAAAAACTTCACCTTGAGCATTGCTGTTAATAATGGCGACCATGTGCGTGTTTCCGCCGTTTTCAATTACTGTGTAAACGGGATGGGTTCCGTAGAGGGAGGAAGTGAACTAAGATAATTCATTTACATAAAAACAATTTTGCACAAGTTTTTATAAAATAATGCCCATTGATTTTCATTTAAAAATCTTAAATTCTAATACAAATTGGTTGTCACCAAAAAAATCATTGCAAAATTATTTATGCAACAATATCAATTGATTTTCACAAAAAAATCAATTCATAATTATTTATGCAATAGTGCAAATCATTTATGCATCTCACATAGGGAGCCTGATCCGACGCGTACAGCGTGTACTTCAATCTTTCGGCGAAATCATGTTTAAAACTTCGCTGCTCATTTTCCCCCAAACCGTACACGTTTTCTGTCGGTAACCTCCAACTCATCGTGATGAACTGGTCGGCAAATTGGAATTTTCCCGCGGACGTGTCGAATAGCACGGCGCCGCTGGATTTCCGGACAACCCGAAAGGAAAATGGGGACCGGGTGAAGGTCACGTCGTACAAGAGGTTGGCATTCGACCCTGCCGGCGGATCAATCTGGATGGGGACTTCGAATCGTTGCGTGTCTGAGGGGCTTATCTGGATTATTTACATATGTATGATAAGTCAAGTATTATTTTATTATGCAAGCATGGATCAATCAAAACTTGTCTGACACCTTAATCCTGAGTCGGTAATCGGACTGGAATGTGGCCTCGAAGTTAAGCGTGGTGAACTGGTTTTCAAATTGCGGCGAGATTAAGGATTTCGTAATGGTAAAGCTGAAAGAGATTTTGCAGATGTAAATTTATCAAGCTGTGGGTCATACTTTGGATATAATTTGAGTTTGAAAGGTGATCGGATATAATTTTAACTAAATTTGCAATGTGCAAACCAAATAATTAACATTTAAGAAATAATAATAAAATCGTTCTTTGTTCTGAGAATTGTTTCTAAATACATGTCCGCCGTTTCTGACTTGCATAAAATCAACAGAATTATGAAAACTAATTTTTATTAAATTCTGAATTTTTTTGCAAAAAAAATAATTATTTTTTGCAAAAAAAAATAATTATTTTTTGCAAAAAAATCGGCAATTTTTTGCAAAAAACAATTATTTTTTTGCAATTATTTTTCTCTCAAATTTTTACGAACCTGATACCACCTGGGGTTTGGACGGGTTCACCGACCATCGCGTAACCCGTGTCGTCTACAGCGGCGGAAGTGAAACACGGCGGATACATCGATCCGGGAACATCCGGGCACCATGTGCAATTTCTGTAGCGACATCCCATCTCACCCATCGGCTCGGTTCCATCGGTACAATCGACCCGAAGGGCGGGTTGAACGTAACCAACGTCACAACTCGGACCGGGTGCAACTATTTATGAATTTAAATGTTTTATGATTTCCATTGTTGTCATTTTCAAAATTGTCGGACTTTCAAAAAAGTCGGATTTTCAAATAAACCAGAAATCTTTCTTTGCTATACAATTACATAATTCTCAATTGAAATTATAATTATAAAATTAAAACCTTCTTGATTCAAAATAACTTATAAAATTAATGAGAGTATTCAAAATCGTTTTCTTTATCATCGTCAAGTGAATTAATTTAGGCGGAAAAATGGTCCAAATTCCCTAGCCGTTCTAACCTACAAGGGAACATACCGAGGTGTCCAACGAGTTAAGGGTCGACACCTATACCAAAATGACCACAATACATGACTTATTAAACAAACTGAAGGAATTTCCGTGTAAAATTCACTTTTCGTCACGTTGTGACGATATTTGTGACGAGCGCAGGGCCATCGGGTCGCCAGAGAGGGAGAGGTCGGCCGCTGAACGATAAGGTCGACCACATAGAAGCGTTGTCGTCTTCACGTCGTCTTCAGAGACTTCGAGTTCTTTCAAATTTTGAAACCATTTTGAAATTTTGAAGAAATTTTCAAAACGTTTTGGAATTTTGAAAAACTTTTTGAAATTTTGAAAAAATTTCGAAATTTCGAAAACAATTTGAAATTTTGAAAAAGTTTTGAAATTTTGAAGAAATTTTGAACTTTTGAAACAATTATGAAATTTTGAAAAATTAGAGGTTTGTAAGTTATTTGAAATCTCTAAAGACAGCATGTGGTCGACCTGATCGTTGAGCTGCTGACCTATCCCGCTGGCAACCCGATGGCTCTGCGCTCGTCACAAATATCGTCACAACGTGACGAAACGTGAATTTTACACGGAAATTCCTTCAGTTTGTTTAACAAGTCATGTATTGTGGTCATTTTGGTATAGGTGTCGACCCTTAACTCGTTGGACACCTCGGTATGTTCCCTTGCTAGATACATATTTTACGATACCGAGAATACAAAGGATACAAAGGAATCATGAATACTATCAATATTTATAAACATTAAAATAAAAGGCTATTTACAACTTTTGGTTTTCATGGAAATAAAAAAAAATCGCATTTTCATGTCTGCCCCTTAACATAAAGTTCACTTTTCCGCATTATAAATACTTCCTCACCATAGAATGGATTCCGATAAAAGCAATGTGGGAAATTTTGTCCATCCGCGCTGGGATCAGGACCACACCAGACACACCCCCTGGCCCGACATATCTGCTCACTCGCGCCCGGCTCAGGGTGGCAATCTTGTCTCACTTCGTTCGGTAAGTTGCCCTCCATACAGCCATAACCTTCCGGTACTTGGGCGAACCCTGTCCTCCCACATACAAAAATTCAGTTTTAACATAGAAACCAAAAAAACATAATACACTCTTAGAAATCTGATGTAGTCAGGCAGGTATTGATTTCTCTGTATTTAAGTTGCTACCGCTTAGTACTAAATTATACTTGTACGTACAGACTTGGTATTGATATGGTAAAATGTTAATATCGAGCTATTCCTACAAGTAATTACTTGTCACCACCACTTTGGTTGAGTCATATACATATGTATGAATACCGCTTGGTATTATTTTAGTACTGGATTTCTAAGAGTGTAAATTTAGAAAAAAATATGTATTTACTTACCTGGGCAAGCAAAAGCTGCCAGAAACAGAGCTACGTAAAGACGAGTCGTCATTATTGCGGATTAATTTGCGAAGTGTTCCAGACTGGACTGGACTGGAGAGGATGGTTTAGGGTGTGGTTCTTTTATATCGGCGAGCAGTTATTTTTGCCACCTTATCAAGTTAAGTGATTGCATTGTGTGTCAGGGTTTAATGGATTACGTGATTCTGATGATTACTTACGTGGGACAATTTTGTATGCCAGGTGCTCCAATGCAACAAAATGGGCAGGATTGCACGTGTAAGTGTAATGAAAGTGAATGAGATTATGTGCATATGTACAACAGAGACGATACAGAGAAAGGATACTACTTATCCAATAATTTTAACCTCTGACCCCAAAGTGATCTTCATGTCATAAACATTGTTAGAGAAACGCGTTATAGTAAATCAGTCACATTCTTTGTGCATGGCCGCGGTCCAAAATTATTCTGAGAACTAGTCTGACGTACGGTTTGACAATTTAATCCGAATTTTTATATGCATATAATTAATTTTGGTATTGACAGCAACAACTGTAAGGTAAATTGCTAAGCCAATATCGGTTCATTAGGTCTTAAGGTTATGTATAATATGTAAATAATAACACCAATTAGCTACATACTATCTTTACATAAATACTAATTATCGCAAAGTTTGTATTAGCCTAATGTGTGAAGTCTTTATATTTACAAGTTGTAAATTTCAACTTATTGATTAAATCACTTATATGTAATACAGGTCTGTCAATGTACCTACATACTTTAGTTGACGATTGTATTTACAATTCATACTAATCTAGTTTGTGACAAATTGACACTAAATTGGTCCAAATATGTGAACATGGGACCTCCATAGTTGGCCATTTCTTAACTCCTACACATTTGTACAACCGAGGGATTTTCATAAACAGAAACCGTGGCATTATTTATGGATATCACCATAGTTTAAAGACAACTTTGCAGTAAATAATATTTGTGCATATGAATGTACATATGCAGGTATGTTACTCTGTTAATGTACATATGCATATTTAAATTAACCTAAATACATATATACATATTCTTGTAACAATATTTATGGTACGAAGAATATTACATTTAACAAAGCAACTAATCTCTTTCCTGCATTCCAAAGAAAAACTACTAAAGGCAAAAATTTGAAGGATTGAATTTAAAACAAAAATTGATTGCACCATTTCTATCTTAACAGGGTCCTCTTTATACTGCGATGGATTCGAATCCATCGGCCTCGACATATCGTGCGCCATGTACCTTTGGTAACGGACATTCCATAAGTTCCTTTCTGATTTGACCACGTAACCCATTCTTTCTAATTTCGGCCATCTTGACTCAATACCAGAAGCTGACAAGTGACTCATCTTTCGTGCAAATAGTTGATGAAAACAGTTGCTTTGACCATAACGAATAGTCATAGAAACGAAAGGCGTTTCTTCCTTACCATTGATAACTAACCGATTTCCATTTGCTCCTAAAAGAGTTGTATAAAAGTGAAACTCGGCTTCCGTATCCATAATGGCATAGGTTCTACTCGTGTCTACAGATGAGTTGAAATCTGTTAACAAGTTCAAGCTTAAAATGTTCTTCGTAAATTCCAACACTCTATAGCTTGAATCAATAAATGTTAGTTTCCTATTTAATGCAGTGTATAATTCAAAAGATTTACTTGCCCCTGATTTACTTAAACTATTGACATGCAAAGGAATGATTAATCTTTTTAAAATTGATTCAGGCAAGTTCGTTGAGCTCACGGTAATAAGTGGGATATCACTACGCACCAGGTCAGTTATAGTTTCTGGAACAGTTGGAGGTTTTATAGCGCTTAAAAATGAAAATATGGATCCCGTGTAATGATTATCCATAATAATGTAACGTCCACAAAATAGCCAAACTACAATAAGGGGAGAACCAAAAATCCGAGTGTTAAACATTTTCAAATTTTCCCCATTTACTTGGCCCAGTAAAATAGCATTTGTGTGTATGAAATCCAAGAAAATTTCCTCCATGCGTGTGACAAAAGATTTTCCATGCTTTCCCACCTGTGCTAGGAAGCACATGCCGAAACATGATATCACCAGTGCAGCCCACACAGCATCATTCAGCGGTAGCAAGAAAGCAATCATGCCTTCTAAAGCCTTGGGGTAAGGGGTAACCACAGAAAATTTCACCCATTCATAATCCAATGAAAAAAGTTGATAGAAGCTGTTTTTTCTTGTCAGCATAAACACGCCGTATGCCAGAGTACCTTTCATAAACAAGGATGATACAGGGTTACTTGAGAGTTCCATTGAGAAGTTAAGATTTTGAGAAAGGTGTATAACTATGCAGTTGCCCTTATATGTATATTTATACAATATGTAACTAGGTCCACAATTTGTTTGGTTTAAATCTGACTTTTCCAAGACAAGGACACTCCTCTAGTGTAAACTAGTATTTTCTGACCACCAAACTTCTTCAATTTCACGAAATGGTATCGTTCTAAACCTCACGATAGGCGAGTAGATGCAAGCTATGCAGGGTATGAAGATTTCTCCGGGTGAGGTGAGACTGCAAATAACAAGTTTTGATCTACCTAGAATTTTTTGATTATCCCTAAAATTGAGTGGATTCAATGGTTCGTCGGTATGTTGAAATATAGAAGTTAGGTTAAAATAGTGTATCACAGCAGGGCGGAAGAAATTGCTTATCGGCATACCGTTCCTTTTCTTGGAATTCATTGCATGACCCATATCATTAAATGCAACCGTTAATGGCAGGCAGTGGTGGCCGAGTGGTCATCACACTGTGCTTCAAGCCGAATGGAGGTTCTGGGTTCAATTCCCAGTACTGGCAGAGAGTTTTTTCCCTTGTGGTTTTCCTCTCTGACTTGTTGCACAGGTCTGTGCGGTGTCCATTGCACTACGGGCACCATAGTTAGGAACCTGTGACCATCTATTTCTCACTTATGTGAGGTTTGGTTCACTTGTAATTCAAATGTAATGGCTAAAATTGGGAATCAATAAAGACGACCTTTAATCCACCAGAACGTGCGTGTAGGAAGATAAAAGCGTTGTACGTTCCCAATACCTTATAAGATGTGAGGTCGATTTTAATCTGATTGTAAATCCTGGGCGAGTATGGATTGCTAGCTAAAATATTGTAGAAATAGAAAGGGGGATCCTCAATATGTTGGGTATTTTCACTCCATGTCAATAATTGAATGTTACAGTCACCAAAATAATTAGGACTTGACCAGATGCTTGTCGCAAAGACTTGAACATGTAGATTAGATACGATAATTATGTATAAGATTTGCCACATTTTGGCTAGACAAAGACGGCCGCCAACTATTTCAAACGTAGAAGAAAAATTTTCCCTAGGGGCTGTGAGACTTTTGGGATTTCAGTGCAATGGGCTAGAGAAGAACTTCTGTGGACACATATGTAGCTCTGGAACGGGTGGATGAAATTACAAGGTTCTATTTTTTGAATTCTTTGCATCCAGACATCCATATATTTTTCGAATTTATTCGAAATTCCAACTTTGAAGTCTGGAATTTCAATTTTTAATAATTGGTTTTTATTTATGACGCAAAAGGTATGTGGACATGCTCGCCGATTTTATTGGCCACAATTGTTCATATGTTGTAGATCTGTGGTAGTAGAACAATTATTAAATTACCGTTACAGTCGAAATCGGCCTATGCGACCTTGTTTATCGGCTCAAAATATCGAAATGTCAAGTTTCATAACCGCACAAGTGGGCTATCGATGGAAAGGTAACCGCGAAGGGATTGTGAATATATACACTTTGTTGGATCTGAGATCCCCCTCTATTTAGAAGCTTAGAGACAAAAAATATTTCTGAGTTTTTGCCAGTTATTGCCATGTTAGCTCCCAAGCTACTGCTGAGTTAAATTGTGGAAAATCAGACATTCTCATTAACCACCTCTTCAGCTTCAAATAGATTTGAAGTTTGTCATTACACAAGGACAGTGTAAGGTGAACTAGGGGTTGACCAGATGCTTATCGAAAAGACTTGAAGATGGACAGTAGATATGATAAGTATCTGTGAAATTTGCCCCATTTTGTCCATTTGATATTGGTTTCTACTCATGGATATTTTAACGTGAAGTACAACTACTACGTTGCGGGGAACGTACATATATTATAAAGAAATTATATATTTTTAAGTACACATTATATGTTTTGAACTTTTCCTTTGAAAAGTTAAGTAACAAAAAACTGATTATGTACAGTAGTTTTGGGAGGAGCGGTAAAAACAGCGATAATACATACATTTATTTACACAATAGGCATAAGCTATTCTTATATTTCGGTACTAGTGCCCTCACACCCGTCGTAGCTAACAATGGAGAGGTGTCAGGTGGTTATCGCCAATGCGGACCGGACTAATTTTAAATTGTTCAGGCCCAGAAATAAGCCCACCCGTATTCTTTCGTTTTTCTGAATGGGCATATTTACGCCCGTGGCGGAATTTTCAAAAATAATTTCAGCCAAAATCCTGATTTTTAAAAACGCTGTAACTTTTCGAATTTTAGCCCGATTTCAAAAATTGAATACAATTTGTGTTCAGAATTACTTCCCTGAAAATATAAAAATTCATTTTCAAAAATTTGATTAATTTAATATTTTCATGCCATTTCCGAGTTTTTAAAAATGAAAAAAATGATAATTTTTTGAAAATTAAAAAATTTTGAAAATGAATTTTTATATTTTCAGGGAAGTAATTCTGAACACAAATTGTATTCAAATTTTGAAATCGGGCTAAAATTCGAAAAGTTACAGCGTTTTTAAAAATCAGGATTTTGGCTGAAATTGATTTTGAAAATTCCGCAACGGGTGTAAAATTCCCATTCAGGAAAACGAAAGAATACGGGTGGGCTTATTTCTGAGCGTGAACAATTTAAAATTATTCCGGTCCACATTGGCGATAACCACCTGACACCTCTCCATTGTAAGTACTTAATAACTAACTCCCGACAATTAATTTGTGTTATGAAATGTTATGCGCAATTTATCTAGATGCATGTAGAACAGTCCTGAGTACATAAACATGGTTGTAATCGAAATTTA